GAGGTCCACGTCGCGCTGCCTGTGGAAGTTCGTTTCTTGCAGGAACAGGAGGTCGCAACGGGCGGTTCGGGCGAACTGGATGACCTCGATCTGTTTTGTCACGCTGCGGAAGCCCTGAACGTTCAGGGTGATGACTCGCAGGTGCGCGAAAAGGGAATGGAGGGGGGGGGGGGGGGGGGGGGGGGGGGGGGGGAGTCGATGTGTTCACTGCTAGTCCGTGGATGTATCGGATGTGATGCACGAGCTGTCAGACAGCGCGACGAGGTCCTTCCGCAACCGCTTGGGAGCCGCTGCCGATGCTGGAGTGGATCCTAAGGACCCTGATTCGCCGCTGCTGGAAAGATCTCGCTTCCCGTCTTCGGCACCGCCATGCGGGCTGCGACTGCGGCTGCAGGTTTTTCGGAGTTCCTCGGAGGTGCCGCGGCGACGATCTCGGCCACGCAGCAGAGAGCTGTCTTTGTCGTGGGCAACCTCGTCGATGACGAGGCGGTCGTCCGACGATGAGGCAGAGTCCTCCGTAATGTCGCTCCAGCTGGGAAGCGGGCTGGGGCAGAGTTCCGGCGTTCGCGGGCGTTCCTCCTTCACCAGTACTTCCTCTGAGGCGGGACTGGTAGGAGTGGGCGCGTGCACAGATGCGGTGTGGACCGCATTCGAAAGCGCGGCCTCGGCGGCGTCCTGTGACGCGTTCGAATTCGCGTCGGTGGCGCTTGCCGGCTTCGACTGTTGCGATGTCGGGGCGAGCTCGGATGGGGTCGTCACTGGAGGCTCGGCGGGGGCAGGCGTGTCACCGGACCCTTCGGTGGCGGCCGTCGCCGCAGGAGGGGGAGTAGGGGTGGTAGGAGGCCTGCCCTGGGACTTCGGAGTCTGGGACGCCGGAGTCAAGGCCGGGAAGTCGTCCTGGCCGCAGCCGGCTACGGCTGAGTAGCTGCGACGCTGGGTGCAGTCCACCGTGGCGTGGGCCGCTCCGCAGCGACCGCAGCCGGCCGCGCAGCCGACGGTGTCGTGGCCGAAGGCGGCGCAGCGGGCACAGTAGGGCACGTTACAGGCCGCCTTGAGGAGGCCCTCCTGCTGGCAGCGTCGGCAGACTCTCTTGAGACCGCGGTAGTCGAAGGTGGCCCGATGACCGGAGACGCGGAGGAAGTTCGGCACCGGGGTAGACTCCTTCATCTCCATTCGGATGTAGCGGGTACCCGTCCGGAGGTTGGGGTGGTCCTGGTAGACGCCGAAGCGAATATCCAGAACCTTCCCGTAAAGCGACAGGGCGGCGGCGAGGGCTTCGTTTCTCACATAAATCGGTAGGTAGAGGCACGTAATGGACGTTACTTGCGGGCCTACCGGGACGATGGGGACGCTTGTTCCGCCGATGGTCAGAGCCCCGGCGTTAACGATTCGGCTCATGGCCGTTGACGATGTAACAGACATCTGAAAGTTGCTGCCTCCCAGATGCTGCACGGAGAACAATTCGGCAGTGCCGACAATGGCCGCCGCCGCGTCGAAGATAGAATCCACCGACGCGCCGGGCGGGCAGGAAACATCGAACGTACATGCCTTCGTAGGCTGGGCCGGCGATGCGGGTGTCATGGCGCCGCTGACAACGTAGACGAAACGGCCTACGTTGCCATGGAAATCGCCATCTTGGTCCATTTAAATCTTCGAAGCTTCCAGGGGGTCGTTCTAAACCAGTCGCGCCAAGATCACCATGGAGCATCATCGTACTGGTAGCGTTCCTCTTCAATATAAGAGTCTTTGGCACTTCGTATGCGATCAACTTATTAATCAGGCCCATCTCCATGGATCTCTTACAATTATATTGTTCTTCTTGCGCATTTCAAGACAGTAAACTTATTTTTCAGTGCCTCCAAGCACCGACACAGCATCTGGTGGTGGTACGAACGTGTACGCCTGTTTCGCCGGTGTGTGGTTAGCAAAATCTCGGTATACAAAAAACGACTCAATAAAGCTACCCGACACCAGCGAATCTAGATAGGCTCACCAAGAACGGAGGGGTCAAGGAGAAATTGCTCATTTCATGGACCAAGATGGCGACCACACGCGGAGCTTGGCGTTACTTTCCCAGGATCCAGTGACTTTAATGCGGACATGGCTAGCCCCTAAGAAACTTCGCCCCTAAAAAAAAACAAAACAACAACAACAACAACAAAAAACGCTTTATAGTGGCATTTTTGGCACCCCTCAACTCACTCCCAGTCTTCAGGATCACATCTGGTCGCACTCCTAGTGACGTAATTCGGGGTGCCGTATAGGTTCCCGTGTGCTCTCTTGGAGGACGCTTCCTCTCCCTCTGCTTACGCTGCAGTTTAGAGCCGAGCGAGATCACGTAAGTTTCTCGGCGTAGTCCCTTCGGCTGCCCACTCGCGGCTGCAGGTGGGGAAAAACTCGACTTTTGCTTTGCGATTATGCAGCGGAATCGCGACATTAGGGAGTTTTAGTAGATACTGTTTCACCCTCCAAGGCCATCGGCGCGCAGGCGCAGTGGCGGTTTCTTCGTAGGGGAGGGTTAGCGAAGAGGGAAACACGGTCCAGTAAAACTCCCGATTTTATTAATTCGGAGATGTTTCCTCTATCCTCCGGGACACGATAAACAACGCAAAAATGACGAGATGCAAATTCGTTTAATCTGAAAATCGTTGGCCCCCCTTTAACTACCGGGTGTATCAAGTAGGCGGCCAGGCTCTTTAAATCGACCGCACAATTCGGTTTCTAACGCGCTACGATTTTCTGCAGCGTTGCCCACAGGTGGTGCATATTTTTCTATAAAATTTGCAAAAAACAAATTTAGCTAAAAAAAGGTAAAAAAAAAAAGGCTTCATTTTTATGGAAACGCAGCGAAGTCTATTGATTGAAGGCCGGTGGCTTCGGTGGGTTTCGATAGGAGTTAATCCTTTTTCTTTATTTACTTTTTCCTCAGGTAAATTCGCTCTTTGCAAATTTTATAGAAAAAAAAATGCACTACTTGCGGGCAACGCTGCACAAAATCGTAGCGCGATAGGTTGCGTTCGATTTAAAGGGGTTATGACACGAAAATTAAACAGAGAGATTATACTTGAAATGGAATGCTCATAGGCTACTTAGTATACACACAAAGGTACGTGTTTTTTAGAGCTCTGGTAATTGCAATATTCAATTTACCAATGTATCATTTTCATCTTGCGACTAGGCAACACTGCCCAAGTTAGTCACACCATGGTGTCCATAAACCACGTGACCATGAACGCTCTCTCATTCTAGGCGCCCCCGTGATCGCCCAAGCTCTCCTCGCCGCGGTACGATCAAAACCGCTGACGCAACTCGGTTACCCGAAAGCTATTCTCGCTCTCGCCCCCGGCCCGTTGACCTTCCACCCTGCATGCGCCTGCGAGATATTCCCGGACGACGGTGACCATGGCGAGTTCGTCCGTAACTCGTCGTCGCTGGTGCTGGTCGCCAACGGGTCGCAGTAAAAATGAACAGCTTCCAACATCTATTAATAGCAATCAGTCTAATCGCTGCTGTGATCAGTGTCGAACACTTTGACAAGGCGAGCGATGCCGTAGACGTAATCGTCATGGACCGCATGCTCGAAACGTGCAACTTAAATGAGGAAGCTGAGGCTCGAGACGCCAAGAGAGCCAAGTCTGTGAGTGCGTGCAAGCAGATACCGTGCTGGAGGCTGGCTACGTAGCCAGTCTCCAGCTCCACCCGGATCCTCCCCTCCGAGGGACCCGCAATTAAAACGATTTATCCACGAAACTATCGCGCCATTTTCAGGACAAATTTAGCAGGATTATAGGAACACACAATGGGTCCTAGCAGGATAGTTATCTCCTATTTTATTTTTGGCGTGTCATAACCCCTTTAAAGAGCCTGGCTGCTATTTGAGACACCCGATAGTTACCGCCTAAAAGACTTCGGTCAACCATCCTAACCATGGTTAATTTGAAAAATATATATAAAAAAAAATGAACTTCCATATATTTTCAAAACTTCGCATGGAAGTCCGAAGACCACACGCAGCCACCGCGTCCGGTCGAAACCGGAAGTACTCAAGTTTTTGCGCTCGTTACGTCGAGAGAGCCTTCATGTACAAAAACGTCATTTTTATTTTTATATATGATCTCCCGTTATTAATTAAACCTTTCATGAGCGTATGTACGAAACTGCACCCCGAATTTCGCCAGTGTCAATGGCTGACAGCCGTAGCTGCTGCGTGACATCACAAAACGCAAAAGTTTGTCGGATAGTCGGGATAACAAGCGCTGGGCGACGGATGTCTTATATTTTGTTTCCAAATATATAGTCTCCTAGGCTGTACCCCACTGAAATGCGGTTCTTTTAACGCAGTTCCCAAGCGTGTGCAAAAAAAGTCACGCCTTTTAGCAGGATATTACTCAGACACATCGTAGCAGACGACAATGGTTCGTCTGCTACGATGTGTCGCGGAACCGAAAGGAAAAAAAGTAGATTTTCTGATAGAAATTGCGTCCCGCGGGCAACGGAATCAAACGCGAGCTTGAATTGTGAGCGTCTGCTATTTCACGAAGGAAGCAATTGACAACCCGTACTTTTTTTGCAGGTACAGACGCTGAACTATACAGTGTGTCAAGACAAGCTCAGAACAAACGCACCAGCGGCTTCCAGATAATAATAATAATATTTATTTGCATACAAAAATCTGATCCTGAGTGGCGTGCACGGCTGTGCAGAAAGGTTAAAACCCGTACGCGAGTGCGCCTGCCAGCCCGGTTTATTAACATCCGTGTGTGGGTGAAAAAGTGAACATTTGTCGACAAAACTCTCTCAGCAGAAACCTCTGACTGGCAAATAAGCAACAGAGAAAGCAAAACAAAGTGACTTTACCCGAGGCTTGGTCAACATCATCATGTTAAATACCCCACGCCGCGCCGCCGATGACCGTCACGCCGCCGCCGGTCGAAAAGCTTTTGCTTGTGTGGGTGCTTCGGCTTCGGATTGACCTTGATAGCCAAAAATCTGAAGAATCCAAGCCGATCCACTTATAAAGTGTCTGCTGGATGTGCTTGGTGTTTTGTAGTGTGCACATGTTGGGCCAGCTCAAATCTACAATAACCTTATGAGTGTAAGTTTAACCTTGGAGTGTATTCTACCGTAGATATTGAAGGTTGATACACCTAGAACGCAGTGAGGAACGTTCGTAGTGTCTCAAGCGTCAGCAATCTCCTCTTCATAGAGCTTGACCACATCTTTATTTCAGTTCAGTAACCGCGTGTGAACTGCACCAGGTTATTGTGGCTTGTACACGCTCGGGCGATCAGTGAAGATTTGCGTTTAAATATGCGAACCAATTATTGTCTTGACCACAGCTGGGGTGGTTTTGTGTCGCCTACAGCGCTTTCAACATTCACCGAAGTCGTGCTTGGATTCTTTTCAGAGCACGGTCCGCCGCTTTCTGTATTCGGTGTTTTTTGGACAACGATCGCCCCAGCTTCCCTTTTGGTCTAGCATTATGTCGGAAGGCGGTACTATCAGTGGGGCCAAACATGCGCTAGACGGCAGCGAAGACAAGGGAGCGAAACGCCTCAAGTCTGAAACAGAGGTAATGTACCAATTCGTCTGTTTTTGTACGCGTGTGAGCGTGCTACGCACATTTTTTTGGCATCCCAGATGTCAGCCTACCGAAACAAATTGGTTCGCTCTGTGACATATATCTGAGTGACAAACCCTTTCCCAAAGATGCTTTCCCTAGTTCGATAACCTTTAAGTTCGTATCTCGATAAAAATGTTCAGAACCCGAAGCAAAGTAGAGAATTTCCCAACTTCTCCAAGTTTTTTTTGTTTGTTTTGTGCGTAAAGTGGTTGTGACACGATTTTCGGTCTGTCCATGTGGAGAGCAGATTCCAAATCTCGAGGCCTTATCACAAATAAACTCAAGGACAAACAGAAGAAGGATTCAGTGCTTATAAAAAGCACACAAAGAATAAACACAAAGGACAAGAACAGACGAGTAAAACCTCTACCAGCCCTCGCCTAACGTTTTAATACAGTGCTGTGTCTGTGTCTGTCTTCTCCCTGTCATTGTGTTTATTTGCACTGTTTTTTTATTGTATTATGTACCGACATGCCCAACTACAAACATTGCTGTTTGTTTCTGTTGTGTCTATGAGCAGTTCTTCACCACTGAGAGAGGATGACGACTAAAGAGAAAAAAAAGGATGGACAAAGCGCGAGAACAGAAGCAGTATGACTTTTGCTGAGCCTAGCAGGGGCTCCAGTATTAAATACAACTGTCTCTGTGAGCACTTTTCCAGAGCTTGCCAAAGAATTCCACGGTCTTTTCACGAAAGGCCTAGGCCACGCCAAAGGAGTCAATTCAGAATGTGAAGGCTGAAGCTCCCATCAGTCCGGTGCAACAAAAGTTGCGTAGGCTACCTTTTACAGTGTGCGAGAAGGTTTCCGTAGAGTTAGCAAAGCTGGAACGTTGTGGTGTGATTGAGCGCACCTATGCATTAGAGTGGGTATCCCCTATCATGGTTGCTCTGAAGAAGACTGGAGACATTCAGCTATGTATAGACATGGAAGCCAAACACCTCAGTTGCTCTGGATTCTCATCCTCTTCTGTGCCTGGATGAGTTCTTTCACCACCATTTTGGTGCCCACATCTTCAGCAAGCTTGACCTCTTGTCAGCATACCACCAGTTGGACCTGGCGGAAGAAACCAGGGACCTTATGAGTTTTGTGATTGACAAAGGTCTCTTCAGATTCACTTGTGTATGCTTCAGGCTGGCTTCTGCCACCCCTGCGTTTCAAAAGACGCTGGACTGCATTCTTCGAGACACTCGAGATACCATTGTTTACCTAGATGATGTGCTTATCTTTGGGTACACAAGCAAAGAGCATGACACCCGCCTGAGGCAAGTTCTTGCTCGCCTTCAAGACGCAGGTGTGAAATTAAACCAAGACAAATGCATCTTCTCGGTGAAACAACTCTAATTCCTTTGACATGACCTGACATCCCATGGAATAAGGCCCTGCCAAAATAATGCAGAAGTTATTGTGCAAGTGTATACTCCCACTGATGCAACGTCACTGCGATCGCTGCTTGGCCTGCATACTTAATACCTGAAGTTCAGTCCCAGCTTTGCAACCATTGTAGAGCCCCTTCATGTGCTCCTATGGAAGGACGTCTTTTTCCAATGGCAAAAGGCACAAGAGGAGGCATTTACCTCCATCAAAGACCTGATTCAGAATTGTGTCCTGCTTACAATTTTCGACGTGACATTTCCTACCGTCGTCATAACTGACATATTGTCACGAATAACAGACAATGAGGCAGGAGAAAATGGGAAGAACTAAAGATTTAATGGGTATGAACTTGTGCCACAAACGAAAAAGAACAACACACGTCGAGCAAGCAGCAGCTAGTGTTGATGATGGCAGCAGCAGCCAGCGACGGTGTGTCGGCGTTAACAGCTGGTTATCGCGAGAGAGAATCGGTGAATGAATCAGCATTACGGCACTCCGCTCTTTATGTATTATGCTCGTCTTCTCGAATATTCAACCTAGAATGTTCGGGCAAGAGCTAGGGTGAGACTGACTTGGCAAAGTCATTCTGGCCTCCTTAGCTTCTATGTTCGGGGTAAGAGTGTATGCGAATCTTCTAGATGAACAGAGAAGTGTATCTTCTCGATCATGCACGTGGCATTACTCCCACCTTTGAAAGTGCATCACCCAATTGCAGCACAAAACAAAATAATGGTAAGCCAAAAAAGGTTCTTTGGAAAACGAAAAGTCCTCAGTGCTACCGAGTGTAGAACGGCTTGAGTCAAACGACGTGAACCACCTCAGGTCGTGGTCGGTGTCGTGATGATGTTTGCATTCCATCGGGCACCACTTCGTAGTTGAGCTCCCCGAGGCGACGAAGTAACTTGTACGGTCCGAAGTACTGTTTCAACAGTTTTTCGGTTGTCAACACCCCGTCTTCGGGCTGGAAGTGAACGTCCCGACGACGAAGGTTGTAGCGGCCAGTGTTGACACGCTGCTGGTCTTGAATCTGGAGTCGGGCAAGCTGGCGGACTTCTTTGGCCCATTGAGCAACCACCTGAGCATCATCGCTCCAATCATCAGCTGGCTCTTGCGGCAGCATCGCGTCCAGCATAGTCGTTACTTTCCAACCATGTAGCAGCTAAAAAGGTTTAAGCTTAACAATGAAGACGAAGAAAGGCACACAACACAGGACGAGCGCTTACTCGCAACTAATGTTTAATATTGAAAACAGAAACCAGGAAAACATAAAAGGCACACTCAACCACGTATGCGCCACCCAAACTGTCTCGTCACAAAGGGCTTCATCTATCAGCGCATCGCGAGCTTCCCATTCATAGTAAAAAAAAAAGCATTTCTTTTTCCGATAGTGCCACCGATGGGTTGCTGACACATTGCGCTCCATAATTAACAGTATGGAATGCCTCGATCACTTTTCTCGTCACCTTATCTCAGTGCTTTCCTAAGATAGTGCTCTCATAGAAGAAGGATTGCAGTTGTGACACCCTCAGTGCACCGATAGATGGCCGCCGACCATAGCTCTCAGGGAATAGTCATGCTCCCTGAGCCTGTCTTTTAAAGGGTAACTCCGCTTCATTTTTGATATTGAAAAAAACCATGCAGCCCTCTTCAGTATCATCTAGGAAGACCACATGTCAAATATTACAATCTAATTCCATCTATATATTTAATAAACTGGCCAGCAAACTTTCAAATGATCCAAGTCGCCGAAATCTGCTAGCTCTATCATGCGACGTGAGGCGCAATCAACAGCACAGTCAACACCACAAAGTTAGAGCAGCCAACATTGAGTCACTGCATCAGAGTAATGTTTACTTTATTCTCATGTTTTGTTTGTTTTTACTTCTCAGAGCGAAATTGAACGATGACGTTTTGAGTTTCTCCTGCCAGTGTTGGCTTAACGGTGTCCACGTGATCATGAACATGGATGCGTTAGTTTGTGCTGCCCTGTGCGCTTCTCGGAGCTGAAAGCTGGGAGCAGTTTGTTTTGTCTTGCCACTGTTATAGTTTGAGGACGACATTTTGCTTGAACTGCCAGTTGACCAGCCCGGGGGTTGTCTTTCACAAGTTTCCACACGACAGTGTGATTCTGAATGTATGGACGGACATATTGTGCAGGTGGAACTCGGGGAAGCAGTTGTCGCCAAATAGCAGGACAATGATCTGTTTTGATTGCTTATGCTTGTGACACTAATTTGCTATTACCAGCCAAATAGAAAAACACGCATGAAAATATCAGTTGCACTGTGAAACCAAATGAATGTGCACTGGAGCATGCTTATCACGGCATTCATAATTTACACTGACTATTTTGCTATTGACAACAAATGTGTATTCCGCAATACAGCTTCATAAAGCTACACAATTCAGGCTACTAAAGTACACGACACATGCACGGTCAAACGACCATCGCGTCGGTCGCACTACGCGCCGGGCGTTTCCCAAGGGACGAGTATATATGTTTCGTGCCTGTAGAAAACAAGGTGCGAAGATTGCTATTTTCGGGGAAATCAATATGAACTCTGAGCTTTATCTACCAGACCTACGAAGGGCATCTGGAATACCCCAGCGGAGGCCTGATGATTAATTTGGACCATTTGGGGATCTTGTGAAGTGTAACTGAGATCTCAGTTACACGGTGCTTTCATGGCAATAAGCCTGCATCAAATTGCAGGCACCTCCGTCGAGGTTCCAACCCTCCGAACTGGAGATGCCCCTGAAAAGAAAAACAATGCTTTTTTTAAACATTCAAATTAATTTTACACACAAAAAAAAAAAAATATTTGGGGCAATATTGACGGCGCAATAAGCAATTTAGTCAGTAGTCGCCTCCTTTCCACTTGTTTTCTTTCTCGGTATTTCTGGCACGTGGAGGAAAGGTGGATCGGCTTCGCCTTCACATTGAGGTGGAAAGAGTGAATGACCATTCCGTGAGGTCATAGACTTGGCACGCAGAATTACAAATAATTCTCTCGCCGTTAATATTGTTCTGAAAAACTCTTTTTTTTTTTTTTTTTTTGCGTAAAATTAATTTTTTTACGCTTGTGTCCTAACCAAACTGTTTAAAAAAGAAAAACATTTTTTTTCTTTTAGGGGCTTTTTAAGGACATTTTGTGGCATTTTGAAAAAAAATAGGAGTGCGGTACACAGCTTTGATTGGCACTGAAAACCCGCAAGCGCATGGGCGTGTTTAGCCGACTTCATTGCCAAAAAAGATCTCCCTGTGTTACGAGCTTACAATGTATCAATAATTACTTTCTTCACGCTGTGTCCACATAATATGGGTGGTCCCTTCCTGCCGAATGCTTTGCTGTCGCCAAACTTTCGGTGACATATTATTGTGGTGTGTAGGAGGTACAGTAATTTGGCACATCACCTCACACAGCAGAGCTTTGTGGGCTCTGCGATGGTTCTTGTAACTAAGCTCTATTGCATCAACGTTATCGTGAGGACAAGCGAATGCACTACGCTGTTGACTCTGCTTCAGTTCATTTGTTTCTTCGGAAATTGGCTGTGACACGCTCGTGCATGTGCATGTGTTGCTTGGTATTCCTCAGCTTCGACAAACGCTTCCTAAATATGCGTTTGAGAAGGCTCTTTTGGAAATAAGCGCAAGCTGGTGGCCGCAGTGGTGCACAGATTGTTGGATATTGTAGCAAAATGCATCGGGGAAAAATGTGGAGCAGATGACACTTGCGCTTTTTTCTACGTTCACCCGCCGTCGCGTAGAGGATCACGTGGTTCGATGTGACGTGGACATGACACTGACAACACGAGACCAGTGTTGCCTGTCGCAAAAAAAGTTTCGGTTTCGATACTGCTGATGTTTAAACTAAGATTACACCAATCATTTCCCATTTTGTGCATCCGAAGACGTAAGGCTGTTTAGCAGTGCTTTAAGAAATGAAATCGCATGTAAGCCTAAAATTTTGTGAATTGAGCACAGTTTCCCTTTAAAGGACACATGCAAAGGAAAAAAAAACATTTTTTTAAAACAACCTAGATGAAAAAAGAATGTCATAAAACAAGTTTAAAACAAAGAAAACAAATTTTTAAAACTATATTTATGGCGCAAAACCAATTTCTAGTTGGGAGCCGCCGCTGGTCACATGATACAATACAATACAATAAACTTTATTTTTCCAGAAGTACTGATAGACCTGTGCACCACTGCACTGCGCCGCCGCACACTGAGCGTGGTGCGCCGCCATTTCAGTGCATTTCTCCACGCCGCTGCCGCCGGAAGAGAACACTCTAGCACGCCGCCGCCGTCAATTTCTGACCGGTGCATCTATCACGTGGTGCTTGTGCTCTTTCAGGAGCTTCCTTCGGGCTCTAAAAGTTGCTTATTAATCTTCGTTTTTTGTTGCTTTTCAAACGAAGATGAATAAGTAACTTTTAGAGACCATAGGAAGCTTCTGAAAGAGTGCAGGCACCATGTGATAAATAGTGGCCAGTCACATGATAAATGGCAGCCAACTACAAATTTGTTTCGCGCCGTAAATATAGCTCTAAACATTTTTTTTTCATTGTAAATTTGTTTTATGACTTCCTTTTCCCTTCCAGGCTGTTTAAAAAAAATGTTTTTTTTTCCTTTGCATGTGTCCTGTAAGCATCTACCGGTTTGTCCAGTGTAGACCTTGCCAAAAGAGAGGGGTACCCTGTATACAACACCCGAAATACAAGACACAAACGGCCTGGCATGCTTTTTGCTACAGCTGTTTTTCTGGTAGTCCCTCTGCCTTTGAGTTGACTCTCAAACAAATTTGGCTCAGTCTCTGGGGGGTGGAAAACACAACCGGGATGCCATACCGGCCCCTACCTTTTTCAATTTATGAGATACCTTGGGCAGGTAGGGAATGACAACAGTCCTCCTCCTGTCAACACTTCCTTTAGGTAAGGAAATTCCCTTAACCCTCTTTACAAGTGTACTGGCAACGTCACCCAACAGGGCCGGTGGGAACCCGGCATCTTTCAGCCTACTACACTGTGCCCGAAAGCTATCACCGACAGTGTGGAAGCACGACTTTTTTAGGCCCACATCCAGACACGAGACTACTATGCCTCGTCAGGGAAACTAAGGTGTTGAATACTTCCTAATACTAATCCATGACAGGGGTTTTGGCTGTGCAAGTTGTTGCGCAGAACACACAAATGTGTCACTTTGGATGAACTGGACAGAATGCCAAAAGTTTGCGCTTTTTTATCATTGTAAACATAAATTCATGGAGAATGCTCACACAAAGATGCACAGCAAAAGCTTTCTGATTTTTGAGTTTGTTTATAATTGAAGGGTACTTTCAGGAAATAAAGGTTCTCTCAGTAGCGAACAGTACCAACCCACTGTTAGGACTTGTGGTGTCTGAGGGTACTCTCAAGGTCCACTTGACCTGTTTGTCTTTTGAAAAGTTGGTGGCGAAAATCAAGCTGAATTAGGCCGCAAGTGTGCCATTTCAAAACTGCTCAGATTGGAAGAGAAGTACTAGAAAACCGAAGCTCCTCCGTTGCTTGACGTGCTTCGTTTGAGGCACCTTTAAGCAGTCCTTGTCCCACACTGATGGAGAAAATCTTTTTTCCTTGCATGAAGACGTCCAACAGTGAATCCCAGCTTGGAAAAGCAAAGGCAAAGAAGATGGCTCTTTGCATGTCTTACAACGGGAAGGATTATCTTGGAATGCAGAGGTATGCTCGCATGCCCTTACATACTTCGAATGGACCATTGTCTTTGCCCAGAGATTGCAGTGTTTTGGCTTGAGTTGCAATTAAAAAATCTGCGAGGCCACCATTAAATTTACAGAGCACAACACTGTTATACTCGCGGTCAGCTTTCTGTGGCAATGCAGTCAATGCTAGGGAAGAGGGTGCACCAACCGCCGTACACGCGCTTTCCTCCTCTCCTGATTGCCACAGAAAGCTGACCGCGAGGATAGTGTAAACAAGCGATTGTCCCCCCTTCCCCCTTTTTTTTCTCTCTCTCTTCAAATTGAAAGACTGGTTTTAGAGCACTTCATGGGCCTACTTTTTGAGACTCGGCCCGTGGCCACTGACTTTGGGGTGGTTATCATTTGAGCCCGTCCTCGGTTCGTCCTTCTCACTTGGTCCTTCTCAAAACAGCCATTCTCAAAAACATCTTCTCGCTTTGACCTGTCGCATTTAGCCCTTTCCTATTTCTTCCTTCGTGTTTCAACCCCCTTCATTTGAGCCCGTTCTCGTTTCACCCTTCTCACTTGGCCCTTCTCAAAACAACCATTCTCAAAAATATCTCGCTTTAACCCAGCACATTTGGCTCTTTCTACTCCTAATTTGGGCTTTTTCGGGTAATATATATTCATATATTCACTAATATTTTCTTTTGTGTGTGTGCCACGCTACCGGCTTACTCTCTCTGCCAATGATTTTAGCCGTGCGTCGTGGTCGTCAAGAAAAGCTACTGCCTGACAAAACAACAGACCAACTACTTATCGCAGACAGATCACATTCCGAAATGTCATCTTCTTTGAGGTGGCTCGACTTGTGACAATGCAACCATTTCTATAATTTACATACATATGCTATTTCTGTTTAAACAGTTTCCAAGTTAAGTGTTCATCGTTTTCTTTCTTTTCTTTGTGTTCGTTTCGAGAAAGGGAAGCAGGCCTCATTGTACAAACATATTACGTTATCTTGTAGTATTTGTATTTTTGGGGTGTGAGAAGTGTGTGCGTGTGTGTGGGGGGGAGGGGGAGTGACGAGAGATGTTTGTCGGTAAAAGATGGTATCCCTTTCTTCGAATGCAGAAAAATGGATTCGACCAAGCTTAGGGGTGGGGTTAGCTATACTATGACTTTATATCTGATGGTATGTTGGGTGCCCAAGCAAGGTAAGACTCGCATACGAATCCGCGAAGGCATAATGACGGCAGAAGCCTACCAAGCTAGTCCCATTCGGTCGTTGCGCGAACGGGCAATATAAGAATTGGCACAGTTGCAAAAAATACGATTTGAATCTTATGAGAATGTTCCACCGAGGCGAACTAAGTGAGAATAGGACTAAATGCTCAAGGTTCAAATGCGAATGGTGCGTTTTCAGATAACGGGCAAAATGAGAATGAGCCCAGTTGAAAAAAACCTGATTCGGATTTTACGAGAAGGTTCAAACGAGAAGGACCAAATGAGAATGGGACGAAATGCGCAAGGTTCAAACGCGAATGGGACGTTTTGAGATACTGACTTAGGGACCCGACGTGGGCCCAACCCGGCTGGAGAGGCCTCGGCTGTTGGAGATGAAGTACGTCTTGGCCGATGAAAGGCCAAGACTTTGTGTGCTTGATCTCCTAAATCCGAAGCAGCCCTGGGAGAGTGTCTGTGCACTCATTCTCCTTGGGAAAAACTGCTGCTGCTTTGTGTCTGGCCCTGGTCCGGCCCAGGTTCGAAAACAATGTGCGCTACCTGGCTCTGCCCGCAGGCTGGGCTGAGCCCAGGTTTTAGGGCCCGGGCCCATGCCGAGCTCTAACTGCCATTTTAACTATTAGTATGGTAACAAGTGCTTATTTGGAGCACCAGCCTAAGTGGCTAAATTTAGCACTCATTAATATCCTGCCCTAGTAAAATGTGATAAAGGGTTGATGGCATGTTTGTGCTAATTGTGTTCTGCAGTGTACAATCACTTCAAAATGTCAGTTGTACCAATGCTTTCCAGAATATTTGCATGCTTTTTTTCGTCACATGAACCAATCGTAGGTCTGTGAAAGCTCCCGTTTTGCCTCAGAGTAATACTAGCATTGGTAATGTGATCTGGAAGGGTTTGCAAAGTTGCCTAATCCGAAAGTAGAAGCAACTGTAAAAATGTAATGGGAAGACTGCATACTTTATTGGCACAAGGCATTATTTTTCTCCATGTCTCCTACTGGACTGCAGTGCCATCCTCTCGTTGTTAATTTTGATAAAGGTTTTGTTAATTTGCAACATTATGGTCTGAAGCTTGCACATGTTTCTATTAAGGACGGTCGTCAGCATTGTAGACAAAGTTCCAGCTCTCTACAAGGTGGGGGAACTCTGAAGCGTGCTAGTGGTGACTCCGGTGCAACAATTACAACCTTGTGTTTTGGACACCAGATGCTGTGAATTTCTGATGGGGTATCATAGAAACTGAAGTTCCTGATTTTTTTTTTATTTTAAGGCTTTGGCACGAAGCTGTGATGGCACCAGGTAGCTAAATCATGAAGCTGGAAAAGTTTATTGCAGTAGAACCTCGCTGCTGCATTCTCGGTCAATATATTTTCCCAGCGGTTACATTCGTCGACGCCTGTCCCGTTGAACACCGACGGTGATATGAGTACTAATTCCCTGTTGCACCTGCCTTCCCGGCTCTTACGTCCAAAAACTGGCATCTGGCATAGCCAGTGCGATGCAATAAGGTGCCCGGGCAGCTACTGTCCTCCTTGTTGTGCTCTGCTCTGCGTCGTTCTCACCCTCTTTACCTCTCTGTGCAGCACTTCTTGAAATAGGCTTTTGAAGCAGGTCGTCCCTCTTTTCATCTCTCTTTCTAGCACACACACTTCTGCCGTGCTTGGTGGCTTGGTTCCTCTGGTTCCATTAGCTTCATTTTGCATGGAATTATTATAGTCGTGCACCGTGTGTGGTGTGCACACATTCACTGCATCGGTGTGCTCTTCGTGCTTCACCGCTTTGCACCGACATGCGAGGAGCAGCGGCTGACACGGGGGAGCGGCCGGGTTAGCTCGATGGGCTCAGAACGTTTGCTCAGTCTTATGGGTCGACAATATTCATTGGTTACAGTTATAGACAGACAGCTAACTGTAGATGACAGTCGTGAAAAAAAGAAACATTGACCTAAATCTGAATAGATATAGCAGTTCTCCACAGCCATGAAAGTCCACACAAAATAAATTTCTCTGTAAAACTTTCAAAAAAATTTTTTTTTTTTTTAAAGTGTCATAGGACTGGGTTTTAAGGCCCAAAATATAGAATACATTAACCTTAATTTCTCTTCCATCCGTAGGCTCCCCAAAACGCTGTCGTTTGTTTGGTTTTCCCGGATCATACGTTGGGAAGTCACAATTTCGACTCAAACAAATTGGCGTAGAGTCGTTCATCATTCATACCTCTCGAGTGTGAAATCAACCATTTGGAAAAACTGTGAGTGCACAGGCAAGCTGGTGGATGTTGATCATAATGTAGAAAACCCGAGACTGTGCTAAAAGCTGGGAAACGGTGTCAGAGAAGAAAGACGGGAAAAGAACATCGTTTCGTTCTTTTCCCCTGTCTTTTTGGAAATTTTTTGGAATTGAACGGAGTTGTCGACACACAAGCGGAGCTTTCTGTCAGGCAGGAGACCCTTTCCCAGTGTCTGCTCTATTTCCTCTTGCCCTCTTTCTCACCCGAAAAGACCAGCCCCGGAAACCTTTTACCGCATAAAGGAGGAGGATTTTTTTCTCTCTGGTTAGAAAAAGAGAAATCGAGGGGCAATTTCCTTCTTTCTGCTTGTTCATCAGCTTTTAAGCCCTGTCTGGTGGATCCAGCATAAAGCTGCAAAAGGTGCCTGAAAGAAAAGTTTAGCTCGAGCGGCCATTGGGTAAACGCTGCGTTCATGTCTTCCCATCGTTGCTTTAGCTCGTTGATGCACTGATGCGCAGCAGAAACCCATTCCGACCTGATCCTGTCTCCTGCAGGAATCCCGGTACAAAAACCATAGAGGATGATTTGCTCCAAGCAATGTACAAGGGAGACTTGATACTCAAAGAGCATGTGGACGTTCCACAAGCCATGAAGTTTCAGCGTGCTGCCCGCACAGACAAGGGCGTCTCGGCCGTCCGGCAGATCGTCTCCCTCAAGCTTCCGACCAATCTCACTGTCGAAGAAATGGTGGACAAGATCAACTCTCATCTAGTTGACCAAATCAGGGTGATAGGTATGTAAAGCATAATCCTCTCTCTGCCATTCGCTCACACATTTTCATATGTGAGGGAGAGTGGGAACCACTACTTATCTCCATACTTTCTTCAAATTAAACCTATTGACGGGAGAAAAATTAAAACGTTTGCCGAAAAGCTAGCCTGTGACATAGAATTGGCACAAAATAATTTGTGATAATATAAAAGAATGTGCAGAGAAAAGGGAATGCGTGGTAGCTATCGCAATAATTTGTAAAAATGGCAATAACGACTGCTTTGTAAAATAATTTTTATAATGAAACTAATATAGCATAATATTTCACGTGAAACGTCTTGTGCTTTGGCCAGTATTTTTACAGATCAACTTTGCACAGTTTCGAGGACTATAGATTGAATCCCTAGGACTAAAATGATGCAGGCTCTTTTATTTTTCGACCCTCAAAATGCTATTATTGCAATATGCTCGAGAGCCACTAGGAGCATGCTTGTGAAGTGACTGCAATGTAAACTGAACAGTGCTTGACGTGAATATCACATTATAAAATATTGTTGGGTGCCAAGTCATATAGGCATACATAGGGTGCAGTGAAGAACCTGACAAGCTTGCTGCATCATTGGGTAGTTTTCTCCAGTCCCCTTTGGAGATTGTTTTGGACAACAAAAGCCTAACTCTGCCTCTCCATGCTTCATTAATAAAAAAAAAAACAAGACAGGAAAACCCAAAAAGTGATAAAAAAATATACCGTAAAATACCGGGCAAGCGCCCACTCAAAATTTAGAGATAATCACGAAAAAAATGGGGGATGGGCGCTTGTCCGGTCATCAATTTTACGTATAAATGTACTGTGCATATTTTTTCATATCTTAGAAATTTGGATATGGGCGCTTAATGTGGAATGGGCGGATGCGTGGTATTTTACGGTACATGTGTGTGTTAATATTCTTTTTTGCGTCTTGTTTATTGTAGACGTCTGTCAGCTTGGTTGCTTTATTTCTTCAGCTTGGGCACTTGGTTTATTTGAGCAAATTCTCCCACAGACATAAAGCGGACGACGAGAGGTTTCAACTGCAAAAACAGCTGCGATTCTCGGACTTACACGTACGTCCTTCCAACATTTGCCTTCGCCCCTCCCGGATCACCAGCCGAGGAGTCCTACAGAATCACAGGCAAGCTGACAATCTCGTTTCTTTCCTTCGAGCTATGAGCTGCTGTTTTGGGCGAGAACAGGACATGCTCACCCGTGGCATAGCCAGGAATTTTTTTCGGGGGGAGCTGAGGTGGCTGGGATGTCCATGACTTGGGAGAGGGGGGGGGGGGGGGGGGGGGGGGGGGGGGGGGGCGGCGGGGCAAAAGTGCATCTGTGTATTATAGGGTCGGCTGGATTTCGGGGAGTGGTGGGAGGGGGGGGGGGGGGGAGGGAGGGAGGGGCTGAAGCCCCATAAGCTCCTCCCTTGGCTACACCACTGCTGCTCACTTGCAAGTTGTCTGGTGGGTCGTCAGTTGGCATCAAAGCGCACAAAGGTCTTTGCCTTTGCAAGATTCTGATAGCTCTATCGTCATGCTTTATGGATTCTAAAAATTTGCATGTCACCCATGTGCATGCATGTCTTACCATATATTGCACTGTGTAAGTCGCATTTTCCCCCCAGAATTTCTGTTGATGTGTTTTATACCGGGCATTTCTGAGAAAAGAACTACGTTCTTCGACCCGCGTGTATAACCTATGCATCGCAGAAAGCTCTAACTCTGAGAATCTGACACTAACAGTTGGGATAGAATGCGAATGTTTGAGAACATGACGTTACACTTGGATCAAAAGATGATTGAGGAAACCGACGTCCACCTAAGCCTAATGTCGTGAAAACAAAAAATGACATTGTGGGCACCCTAGAGAATTATTCCAGTGAAAAAACCTTGTCAGCAAGAAAGAAAAGAATATTGTTTATTTTGCTTACAAGAGTTTTTTTGCCGATATGAATGCCGCATGCGTCCACAATCAGTTCTTTTGACAATGTTGGGCTAAAGTGGACATTGGCTCATAAAGAGATTTAATTTTTCTGAATTTTCAATTTAATCATACTTTCACGCTTTATCCCAACCGCTAGCGTCACATTTTCGCAGAGTTTCAGCTCTGCGATGCATAGTTTAATGACGTGGGCCAAAGAACAAGTTTTTTTCTTCAGGAATGTTCGATACAGCTGTGTGATTTCTATGCATTTTTGTTTTACAATTATGAACCTTAATTGTGCAAATTTGCTGCGGGGGTTCTGTTTCTCGTTTGATTTGTTGGCGAGACTACTGAAACTGGCTCCCACTTGCACATAGTATATATCGCAATCACAATGCACCTGATATGCAGGCTTATCAACACAGTTTTGCCGTGCCGACCGTACAAAGAAGTGTAACCTATACAGGAGTGCGACTTATATACTGATATTTGTTTTGTGACTCGGCTGTCTAAGAGACACCTCCAGAAAATGCTGAATTAAAAAAGATTTGAGGGCTGGTTGGCACTGAATGAGGTAAAGTTGGAAAGTCCCTCGTATTTTTTGCTCAGCTTGCATGGTTATCGGGTTGTTTTGCTCATCCCGTAGAGGATTTGCGCCGCTGATTACAACACCAGCGCTGTGGTGTGAGGCTTCAGCTGGAACTGCTGTACTTCTCCTGTCCTTCCTGCCTGTGACTGGTTTCATGAGAGGCTACAATAACCAGTTTTCAATTCATTTGTAAGCTTGTAGGCGTACTCTACTTGTATTATTGAGCAATTCATAGATATGCCTCATGGCAGTTTGCACAGTTGGCACATTTTAATCGCTGGAACGACTGCTACAGTTTCGGTTTTCACAAGTGTGATGATCAGAGCTCACCTCCAAACTCAGTCTTTCCCCTCATATTAGAGGAATGGTTCTGGTTTTACAAACTCCTTATTGAAAGAATATTTCTATTGCATGATACTGAAAAAAAGGTGACAACTCATGCACAACCATAGAGTATGCTGCACTGCTGGCAGACTCCACATCTGTATTTAATGCTATCTTGAGATATTTTCAGGCAAGTCAAGAGTAACTTCGGAGTGTGTTATGAAGTAATTTTCGTGAGCAAAAACATTTTACTGAAAAAGAAAATGGTTAAACCTGTCCAGTTATTAATAAGCAATATGTAGCACTTATACATATTTCGTTATAGGTGACATTAATTATGATGTCCCTCAAATTAATCTTTTTCCCATAGGTCTCGAAGATCTTCAGAGGGGACACTACCCAGAAAAAACTATTTCTGCAAAAAAAAAAATGTTAATTTTGAAAAATGCCATATTTACATACACCACCATCTAGAGAGTGTTCCCAGAAAGTTTCATTAGTTTACACTGGATAGTTAATTTTTTATAGTTTATTTTCGGTCCACCAACGCTAAAGAAAAAATAGAGGTTGGAGCACTTTGAACGCATTTTTCCCAGTTCCACTTTTGGCATAAATTTCACCTTGATAAAACTATTGTTTCAGTATGAACCTATCGACAGACAATATATGTGGCTTATAGGCCTAAATGTTATGGAGCCAGTTGCTATGAACTTAGATTTTGCATTTTCATGTTCCTTTATTATGAAAAAAAATGTTCATTATTTTTTTTTTATTTGTAAAATGCATATGTTTTTTAAATTTCATTTCATAGTATCTGGCAACAGGTATTCCAGAATGCATTCCACCAGAAAAATATATGGTTATCAGCACCATTTCTCAACAATAGATTCAGTGAGCAGATTCCATGCAAAGCTATGCTTTACTTCATTCTGCGGTATAGTACCTCATAAAATTAGTTCACAGGGCTGAAACTTTGCATGCCCTCCTTCTATCTACCACCAGCAAATATCACGCCGATTGAGTGAGCGGTTCAAAAGTTGACATTCCCAGGTAGTGTCCCCCGTAACTAAGGTTTTCATTAGTGATGGACCGAATCTGCCGAACTTCAGATTCGGCAAAGTTCGGCAAATGTCTGCACATGTGCGAGAATGCAACGGGGCCATGGATTGCAAATGGACGCCGTGCGGTTACCATCGTACAGTGTAGTACAACGAGCGGTTACGGCGAGGTGTGGAGTAGGCAACACGGTAATTATGCGTTCATGAGCCTTTGCGAGTCTGGTTCTCTTCAATATTTCTCCCTCAAGAACAGACGGGCCAGTAATTTACGTAGTCCACTGTGCAAGTGACAAATCATGTGGTACATTCTGAAGAATGTGATTTTCATTTCACCTTTCCAGTGATGCAACGAGGTAGTTGAAACATTGACTGACAATTACTTTAAAGCACTTGTCGCAATTGTAACAATCTTGTTTTCAACTCGCAGATAGTTTGTGCCAAAAAAAAAAAATATATTGCTTTTTAATTAGCATTATCTCACAGTTTTTATGTATCTAGAAAACTAAACACGGAACTATCATGCTCGACGTTGCACATCCGACATTCCTAAGTCTTCCCATCTTCCTAAATGTCAGTGTGTGTCCTAACATCAGAAACCGGCTAAAGGTTAAAAACGAGACGTTGCAAAAATGGGACGCACACTTTCAGGCAAAGCTGACGTCAAGTGACTCAAATCGAAAAACATGCATATTTACAATAATATTGTTATTTCTTCTGGTGAAGGTTTAGTAGCCGTTGCATTAGTTTTCACACACAAAACGGTGACTCCCAGAGAAGGTAAGAATGCAGTGTTATTGCCTTTATTTTAACAATGTACTCACACTTGCAGGCTTGCACTGATGATGCCTCAAGACTGAAACTCTTGTATCGTGATTTGTGACAACGCCGCTACTACCCAACCTCGTTGCCACGCCACTTCTGCAAGAAGTCCCTTTAAAATTGCTAGTAAACACACAAAAACGACACCTATACAATTACCTTGTAATATGCATTACATGTTGCATAAAAAAAAAAAAAAACTTTTTTAGCAAAAAAAAAAACTTTTTTAGCAAAAAAAAAAAAAGAAAATCAGCGTTAAATTTGGTAACAATGTATTTTTGCTGAATCTTTAGAAAAGTTTGACTTTGTCGAATCCCAAGATTCTGCGCCGAATGTTTGATTCGGCAAAAGTTCTCCCCATCACTAGTTTTCATTAACTTTCTTTTTTTTCTTTTTTTTTTACTTAGAGGAGCGAATTGGAGAAGTGAACAACGTCCTGGCTTTGTACAAAGGCTGCCACAACTACCACAACTTCACATCTGGGAAGTGAGTGCTTTGACTTGTTGAATATTTGTACTTCAGCGCAGAGAATGAATGTACCATATTTATCGGAGTGTAAATTTTTTTTTTTTTTTTTTAATTTCTTTGGGTATGTTTTATACAATGGTGTGACTTGTATGCATTTTTTTCTCTATAAGTATGGCCCTTAACCAAGCGAATTTGTTGGGGGGGAGAGGTATATTTCTCATTTCAATCATTGGCAAAGATATTGAAATTGGCCCCCGCTTGCGCATATATCACAATCACAATACACATGTGGGCATATCAGTGAAATTTCGTCACGCCTATCGTACATATATATAATTGTAACTTATACAAAAGTGCAACTTACATGCGAACTTTTTGGCGAAAACAGCCAATTATAGGGGGCTGCAACTTATATCACATTGCGACTTATAGACCAAAAAATATACCTTTTTCATATAAAGGCGGCATCAAGCGGCGGGCACACAAACTAGGTAACTTTGGTGGGATCGAATGACTGAATGGATAGATGCATACGGCTCCGCAGAGACAAGTCCAAACTATGTGCCTACAGTCCATCTCTTGCATCACTTCAAATACAAAATTGCCCTGCTGCTCGCAGAGAAAACATGAAGCGGCTAGAAGCTAGAATGAAAACTATTAACATCTGGATACTCCAAGAGCAGTGCACAATGTTAGTGCCGGGTAAGAGCGTACCAAATGGAAATTAAATAAACATTACAGCAGCCCAAGGCTAGTATGTGTGCTAAAGAGATTTATGTAAGAGTGTTGGTCCCAGCAGGGCTGCATGCTGGTGGCTGAAGGATATAATGCACAATTATTTTGCTTCGGCGCAAGGTGTTAAGCTCTTTCTAAATTTTTCTTTACTTTATTGTTTTATTTTTCATCCTGATGGCATGTTTAGAATAAAATTGTGGTATGTAATTTAAACACTATTTTGTCTGTAAACAAATGAAAACATTTTAGCTTTCTGGCCCCTTTGCACCTCAGATTGCTCCTTGGTTCCAACACCATTGTCATTTTATATCGCTGCTGTGCTGGCTAGTTGATATGATGCCAAGCACTGACTCTGCCGGGTCATGCATTTTTTGAAGATAACTGTTGGACACAGAACATGTATCTGTAAATGCTCTAGGTTCAAATAAGCTATGTTTTAAAAACCACACTTGACCCAACAGAGTCAGGGTACAGCTCAAGCACCAAAGAAGAGAAAAATGGAAATGGTGGGGGGAACAGTATGAAGTTCCGCTCAATTGACTGGCACCGCCATTGCTTACTGTCGGCAGCTTCGTGTAGATTTTACGGCACAATAATAGTTTAGCCCCTTGTTGCAGCAACAAAATCTTAGTCCAAGTTCCAAGCTAAAGACATGCTTTTCGTGTGAGGCTCTTAAAAATATTACATGCTGGAGAAAATCAACCATCTGCGTTGCGTCCTTATTTCAGACTTTTTATATTCTTGTTTCACCATTGGAAAGCACGGTGATAGAGCCCGAGCCTGTACTTGATCTCACCACACTGCTGTTTCCTTCCGCACAATAAAGTCCGTCTGCAACGCTCACGGTCACCATATCAGCGAGGCATATCCTGTATAGAGATGCAAACGCAGACACAGAACAGTGTCTGCATTTAAGCCAGGAACAGCGGAAGCTATTTCCCATTATTGTCCGCTAAAGTGAATGTGGCATTGCTAGCTAAAGCTGGACGTGCTGATGCAGGGGCAATGCTGAAAGCGGGAAGCAGTCATCTGTCAGTTCCGATGAGGCTTGGTACAAGTTCGGGCCCGTGATTATAATCTATTTTCCCCGAGTGTAGCTAAGTGAGGAGTGGCCGTGCATGTCGCAGCCTGTTTGGAAGCCTAGCTTGGAACACCCAGAAAAGTCTCCAGCGACCTGCTACTCCGTCGTTGGTTACCAGACGGCATTTGGAAAATGGCATCGGCTGTTGCTGGCTTCAAACGCTGCGTTCGCGTGTGCATCTATTGAGCCGATGCTTCGTTGCCATGGGGCATAGCAGGCGGACATTATCGTGCAGAAGGAGACGGCGGTGTGGTGAGATTAGGTGCATGCTTGGGCTCACCATGCTTTTCAATGGGTGGAACGTGAACATAGAGTTTTGAAGTAAGGACCAAGGTAACGCAGATGGCTGATTTTTTCCAGCGCCTAATATTTTGACAAGACTTGCATGAAAAGATTGTTTTTTTTACTATCCAGTGGCCGTTTCTTTTGTTTCCTGGAACATGGGGCAGAAGCATCAGAGTGCTGATTTTGCTTTCAACTCAGACCTAGTTCACTGTTCTGCTGCAGCACCTCATGCCGCCAGTTTTGCCCTACCACTGTGGAGGCTACAGCTGCATACAGCTGACCCTATGCCAAAGTAAAAGAATGACGCTTCAGACCACTCGACCGTGAAAGCACGCAGTTTTGCTACAATCGAGGAACCTATACAAATGTCTTTAGCAGACATAGCCTTTGGGCTGTTGTAGTTTTTCTTTCATTTTCATCGAATACGATTCCCTTCAGCACTATACTCTGTTTTGACTGCCATCCCTGTCAATCAAGTGGTGTGAAAATATCACGTGAGCACGTTCAACACACGTTGCATTTCCCCCCTCGAAAGTCACATGACACTCGTGCAGCATTGAATTGGACCGTATGGCTCATGGCTTTCTTTGTGGTTCATTGTAAGGTGAAACAGAGGACGCATTTTATTTCACCTGAATCTTGGGTCTCTTTGTGTTTTATCTGTGAGCAGAATGGCAATTTTGCTGTCGAACGTGAGCAAGAAGAGACTCGGAGTTACAAAAAAGTTCCCGAAAATTCCCCAGTATTTAGTGGGACGAGCGTCCCTTTCCAGGAGGCTGTGTTGCACATGTAGCAACGAAGCTCTCATGCGGAGCAAAATAGCAACACGTGAGTCGTGGAAGAGGCAGGAGAGGTAGCACATCTCCCCATGGAGTTTCCGCCATCTCCACTTCCACCCACTGATCATAAAGGCCTGTTCACACACTTGCGACTTCTTACAACGAGAGAACACACTGGCATGGTGGTGCCGCCTATGCGATGACCCTGAACTGCATTTCACTAGAGCCAAGGTTTGGCAGTGTCTGCAAGGTCAAATGTATGTACTGCCTATGAGAAATGGTAGTTTATAACATTGACAAAAGTTTTTCAAGCCAAAAAAGAATGATGCACGAAAAAGATACATCATCTGTGTGATGCATACATCACACAGATGATGCATACATGTAACAAAGGCTGCAACCGTTGGATTGCTTGGGCGACCGCTGTAGCCATTTGGTGCCGAGCCCAAAAGATGGCGTAGCAGCCACTGTGCGAGAGCACAAGGAGTGGGGAGAAAGCGGGGGAAACAAGGGGACGCAGGGAGACGGCGAGGCTTGACTAGAACACCAATACCGCTGCATGCAAGTTAGTGAGAGAATAAAGTGTTCCTAGCGAGATTGCTTGTGTGCGAGTCGTGGCCAAGATAACCAGCGACGAAGTAGTACGTCGCAAGAAATATACGGGACCGCCAAGTGCTTGACGGCTACTCAATAGGCGGCAAGAGTGTATTCTCTCGTCGTAAGAGATTTTAAGAGGTTTCAAGGCTCAAGGTCCTAAGGAGTCGCAAGTGTGTGAATGGGCCTTAAAGGTGCACTATAGACGTTTCGGAGATTGTCTGATCTTGGTGATAACGCATTCTACGGGATCTTGGCATCCCGGAAATTGAAAAATTATGCTTGTACGACGTCTATTTCTCCTACTAAAAATGTGATCCAAGTTCGTGCCACGCCCCTTTCTGAGTGGAAAAGTCTGGAGCAAAGAATTCAGCGGAGGCGCCGGCGGCGTGACAACGGGCGCGAGAGTCGAGTCGGCTTGCGACTGGGGCTAACTCGCACCCGTCGTCACGCTGCCGGTGCCTCCACTGGATTTTGTGCTCCAGATTTTTCCATTCAGGAAGGGGCGTGGCACAAACTTCAATCACATTTCTAGTAGGAGACGTCGCACAAGCATAATTTTTTTAATTTCTTGGGTGCTTGGAGTCCGTAAGATATAAGTTATCACCAAGAACAGATGATCTCGGAAACATTATTAGTGCACCTTTAAGTTGAGCCTTTGCCGCTGGTTGAGGGACGTGCACACAGGCGCAGAACTCTTCTTGGCAAGGTCCGTTGGCTGTGGCACTTCTCTTGATGCACAGTGTGTGTGAAGATGGAAGTCTATTGCGGCTTACAGACACATTGCATTGAATCTCAGATTTTGCTGCCACATGCAGGCTGCAGAACACACCTGACTTCTCCTTTGGAATGCTCGAGAAATTATTATGAGCAAAATTATAGACGGTGAAAGTTGACAAGTGTGACGTTTGAATGTAGTGCGCACGCAGAGTTACCCGCTGTGTGGTCGGCTGCCATACCATTGAGCGATCTCTAGCACATACTTCCTTGCGGGAGCCTTAGCAGTGGTGTCACTCACGCGTCACCTTTTCCATCACTTCCTCAGGAAGTCTGAAGACCCCAGCGCCATGCGGTACATCATCTCGGCAGAGGCAAGTGGCTGCACATGAGGTTGCGTCTCGCAATGGCGTGAGCGAGGCCCTTCCGTTTGTCTCGCAGTGTGGGCAGCCGTTTGTCCAGGGAGACCAGGAGTTTGTCCAGGTTCAAATCAAGGGCCAGAGTTTTATGCTGCATCAGATTCGCAAGATGGTGGGCCTGGTGATAGCCATCATGCGGGGCTGCACCAAGGAGACTACCATACGGAGGGCCTGGGGCCCTGAAAAGGTCAGCCTAACTGCTGATCTTCCGATTCCTTTTTTTTTTCCTGCAGGACCATTTTTGTGTTTTACAGAAAGCAGTCTGTTATGGTATTGTTTTCTGATGTTTAGCATTGCACTGGAATTCCAACAACCTTCGAATATTAAGGTTATTTTTTCGAGGATCCTAGCATTTCAATAATGATGAGCCGAACGTGATGTTTTAATATTGAAAACTCAAATTGTTATTTTTTTAATTGCTCATTTTGTCTGTGCTCGACTTCTCTTTGCTCCAGACTTATTTCCAGGTAATTTTGGACGAACCAGCAGTTCAAAGGAATAGTCCTCATTGCTTTTGTGATGGTGCCCCTAAAAGCATGGCTGTTCGGTTGTTGGAAAAGCCTCGGCACGTAATTGAAAGGCTTTACATTTCAACCCTTTGACGTTCATTGCCATACACATTTAAAAGTAGCCACCTAAACGCAAAAACGTGCTTCCTCCGGGAAGTGCTACTATCTGTTATGTTTTTGGGGAACTATAGGTGTTGCATTCACACCGTATTTCGCTTTGCTGAGCTATTCATTGTTACGCTCTGTGCACATGATACGTGCGAGATGGTTGTTTCGCCTGTCAGCCGCTGCGTCTGTAGTGGCAGTCAGATGGTCGGCTGTTCTGAATCAGACTTCCAATGCTTCTCAAAATTGAATTCAGAGGATGAGAGCTCACCATTTAACGGAGAAGCTTTGTAAAGTACCTCTGGTACAAAGTCCGACACCGCTGGAATGTCACGGAAGCGGATGTACCAAAATGAAATCAAATGAAAAAAGGCAACAACTTTTCGCCCTCAATATTTCTATTTGACGCTTTACAATTTAGACAACATAATTAGGAAATAATTAGAAAAAAGAAAAGCTGAGCATTGATTTGTTTCCCTTTGATAAAAGAACCCTGAACCCTGAGGCTTGTCTTTCGCAAAAAGGAATTAAAAATAAAACAACTCGACCGGTAAAGGGTTAAAAGTATCAGGGAATTTTATTTCCAGCTGGATCTGCCCATAGCCCCTGCGTTGGGCCTCATGCTGGAAGAGGTCCACTATGATCGCTACAACAAGCGATATGGCGGGGATGGACTTCACGAACCTCTCACCTGGGAGGAGAAGCAGGTCTGGACACTCTCCACAGTTGCACCCGGGGGCTTAAGATTGGGAACCGTGTTTTTCGAGTCTGTGTAGTGTTCCCAAAAGACATTTTAAGGCAATAGCTTGGGATGGGAACCCTGCACGGACCTTGCTCGCTTGTGTTGGTGCTGCTCACACCGTAGCAAGGCCATGGGAAGGAGAGCCAGTAATGAAGTGCAGCTGTTGGCTCCCCTCTTCCTACCCTCCCCTTCCCCCCCCTTTCCGCTTTGTAGGAAGAAGGGCTGTGTAGTAGGGTAGGAACTGTGTAGAAGTAGAATTCATTTCTTTAAGAAGCATCAGTCTTCACTGAAGCGAAACTCCACAAATGTTTATTAACAGTTGAAAATTGTGTCCCAGGGTTTCCCCTCCGTTATTACAATGCAATCCACTTATAACGATACCAGATATAACGATGTACTGCTTATAACAATCAGTTTCTAGAGTTTCAAGACTATATACGCCCAGCTTCTAGTCCAGATACAACGATAATCGGCTATAACGATTTAATTTTCGGGTTTTCTCATTATCGTTATAAGTGGATTGCACTGTATTTTCAGAAATGTTAGATTTCGAGCCGGGATAACATACCGTATTGGTTACAGACCGACGATTCTCCAATTTCAATTAAAAAAATATCTTGGTTACGGTTCGAGTCCCTGGTTGTACTGCCACTGCCGGCAGGCATGCTGTATTGTCTTGCTCCCTCTTTGCAGGACATAATCCAGAGCTTCAAGGAAAAGCACATCTACCCTACCATCTTGGAGACCGAAAAGAATGAAAAGTCGTATCCTTTGCACATCACCGCACCTTGTTTGTTCTGCAAGTGGACTTGGATCAAAACTTTTATTCCGTCCAAATTCAATAGAATGCGTATGTTTGCATCATTGGGGTACATCCCAAACCTGTTTCAACACGCACGAACAAATGAAAGGATTAAACAAAAAAAGAACTGCTATAGTAACTGACAGAATGAGAATGGCAAGGCATGTCTTTCGAACGCCCGTCCTCTAGCATGCGCTCTATGCCCTCTGTTGCACAAGACGCCCAAGTGTTGTCGAAGTTAGGAAGCTTGCGCCGGAGGTGGGGCACTGTTGAGCTCCGACCGAAGTTCGAACTGTGTCCAAAGTTTGGACACATTCAACTTTGGGGCACGTTCAAAGAGCAAGTAGAGATAATGTCAGCTACCTTTGCTTCTGCCCACCAATCATTCCAACCAGGGCAGCAGCGCTCTGGTGTCCTTGCGTGCCCTTTTCTACTCCTCTCCCTCAGTTTCTGCCCGTTGCCAAGACGATTTTCAAGACGATGAATGGAGATTACTATGACTGCTTCTGGTGTTGTGCCTCTAGTACCCTATATGCAGGAACAACTTTTTCTGGCATTTTAGAAGTGAAGACTGCATTTGCGCGGCTTTGATAAGGGGCTCTAGATTAGTTTACGGATGAAAAAAAAAAGGCGGCTTCTGGTAGTTCCCTATACCAAGCCTCCCAGTATGCTCACCTGGATGGAAAACCTGCCGCTCCACACGTACGACGTGCGCGAACCGGGACCGCCGACGTCGGACGAGGCAGAGCACTGCGACATTGCCGCCGAGCAAGAGCACGTTTCGTGCAACGAGGTGGGTATTTTTTTGTTTGCAACGCGGCTGGTCCGCCTGGGCCTACAGCATGTCCCAAAACTATGGAGAGCATTGCGCAGATGTGGTATTTTTTGTGCGATCTGGTCTGTATTGCAACCCCGTATTGGATGAGTGGACTTGGGAATGGAGTATCCTCGTTTCATTTAGACAGTACTGGATTTCAGAATGGAAGTCTGGTAAAGTGTTCTCATAGTACTTCGTCTTGCCCTTACAGCCCAAGCTACGGGACATTAGGTCCGGTCCTGTTAACTGTTGCGTGGCATACCGTATTGCTTTAGCATATGGTGCGAGGAAATGTGCAACGGGAGCATGCGAGGGGTCTATGCGGAAAAATATTCCGCTTGGTTTTCAACAGACTCGTGATTGGACTTGGTGGTTCTGGCTGTGGTTTATCATAGGGTGAAACGGAAGATAGGAGCAACATTTATCTTCCAATAATAGTCAGTTTTGGGTGAAAAAGTTGCTGTTTGTAAAAGCTTGTTTCTGATGGCACATTGTTTGTTCGACTTTAGTTAATCAAAATGGCCAGTTCTAATGGCAAGACGTCCTAGTAAACTTCCGGCAATACACGGGCACTATTTTCTCTCGAGGTGGCGGCATGGCATGGCATCCTCAGGCCCCCCCCCCCGTAATACTGGCGCATTGCTTCAAGATTTTGAACGTTACTATTATGGCTTTTTTTAGGCGCGTTGTCATTATATTCTGACAAAAACATCAAATCTTTGGGTGCTGGAGACGTAATGCTGCAATTATCGTTTAAAAATGCTTTCTGATGGCACCCCCTGGTGCCTGCTCCAAGGCACAGAAAGAGGGGTGTGTCACAATCTTTGATTAGATTTTTAATAGGGAAATCGACCATCGACGAGTGTAATCTTGGTTTTTTAAGGGTGCCTAGAGCACCGTACCAGTGGTGGTGCTTAGAGCACTGCCACCGGTCATGTGGTAGAACTGTGTGCCGCCGCGCTGCGCCGCCGTCGTTGCCGCAAGGTCACGCCGCCACTAGAAGAGAACACTCCGGTGCGCCACCGCCGTCAATTTCTGACCGGCACACAGGTCTATTACGTGGTGCTTGCTCTCTTTCCGGAACTTCCTTTGGGCTCTAAAAGTTACTTATTAATCTTCGTTTTTTTTTTTTGTTGCACTTCAAACAAAAATTAATACATAACCTTTAGAGCTCGTATGAAGCTCCCGAAAGAGCGCAAGCACCATTGACCATAGCGGCCAGCCATGTGACCTTTCTAACCACTTTTCCGCGGGCTCCCGCGGGCGCCAACTACAAATTCGTCTCTCGCCGTAAATATAGGTCTAAAAAAAAAAAAAGTTTGCATTGTAAATTTTGTTTTATGACATTCTTTTTCCATCTAGGCTGTTTTAAAAAAGAATGTTTCTTTCCTTTGCATATGTCCTTTAAAGGTTCCACCCTCCGTCAGCCAGGTATACGGGAGATAGCGATTCATAGGTGGTGCTAGCTATAATCCACTCGTACGACAAAGCGAAGGTGACTTCCATATGAGGCCACTACTGCATGGAACTGCAAGCTGGTCTCACCTACATCCTACTAGCTGTGGAGTATGCTTCCCTGCGACTAAGAACTTTAAGAAAGTCGCTTGTAACTTTTGATTCCGCTAACGTATGGAGCTGAAACTTGTACATCCTGCCTTTACCGTTCAGGTTCATTTCTAGTGAAGTTCAAGTGTTTTGTGATGTGCAGTGTATATACAGGGTGTTTCATGAAATGCCAACCAAATTGCTACTGCGAAAGCAAAAACGATTGATGTCATATTGGTCTCTGTTAAAGAGCCTTTTTTTAGGAAAATTAATAATGGTCGGTGTAATTAGCTTCTTAATTACATTTGAGTTATTAACTAATTGAAAAAGTTAAATATGTATGTTTTCAATTATAAACTTTGTGGGCATCATCAAAAACTGCTAAATCAGCCCACTTTATAAAAATAAAAATATAAGGCACGCGGCATTTTACGGTGTTCCAAAAACACAATTTGGATGTGTTTTTAAGTTACGGTTTCCTATCAAAACGCGTATCTGTGTCAACAGTCTGTGGCCAATGCAACATCTCATGTGCACTGCCACGGATTTTTCGCTTGCAGAGGTGAACCTAAGAATTGAAGCTTGTTCTTGCAATGTCGTTCAAACAACACAGCATTTCATCTTATCGGCAAGCATCGCACTTCCCTTTCTCAAATGAGGGAGGCGAAGCGATAGTTGTGCATTTTGGCCATGGGGAGCAAGACTGCTGGCACGGAGATGCATTTTGCTAAGAAAACAAAACTTCAAAATGCGTTCAAATTTTTTTTTTATTTTTGTACGTCGTAAAATGCTGTGCATGCCTTCCAATTTTGTAAACTGTGCTGGTTGAGTGGTTTTTGATGATGCCCAAATTAATATTTACTAATTAAGAAGTTTATTACTCAAATCTAATAAACTCCCTAATTATACCAAACATTAATTTTTCTAAATAGGCCCTTTGGCAGTGACCATTATGACATAACCTTTCTCTTATGCGATGCGCACTTTTCGCAGGAGCGATTTGGCCAGCATTATGTGAAACAGCCTGTATATGCACCGTGAAGAAACCTAAAAGATTTCTCCGGCAGATCTCGTACTTCCGGTATGTGTATTTCGAGATCAGTTATGCAAGCTTTCCACACCCGTGCAATGATTTTTTTACCCATAGTCGGTAACAGATGCTGGAGAGGAGGCGAGGAGTGGCTTTGCCTCCTCTCCAGCATTTGCTCTGCTAAAGTGGAAAGAGTGGAGGGCCTTGTGGGAAGAGTTAGTCCTGCACTCTTAACCTGCAACAACCTGGAGTCCTTTTCATCCTTCGTGTGTTTGAAACCTTTCTCGTTGGTATCTTGTGTCTGCCGCTCGCTGTGTGATCTGCACCTTTGCTGTCACACCGAAACTGAGCCACTGTACTAGGTTTCTGCGTCCCGGTGTTGCAGCAGCAATCTCACCACAACCGCCAAGGGGTGATCGTGGAAGCGAGCGTGAGAAGATGATTAGGAAGGAGCATGGGACTGGGGAAGGATTAGCAATGAGATAAAATGTAGCTTAGATTTAAAACAAACAAATTTGGGCAAAATAACAAGTTGCGTGTCCTTTGCCTGTTATGTTTCTCCCTGGGGCCGCTGAACCTTTTTCCTTTCTAGTACTAGCAGAAACTACTGCTAGAGGATGAGGGCTGGATGGGGAAGACCACACTACATCCTTGTTAGCTGGCTCAGCTTGATTTGGGTCGATTATTCTGTAAATATCCTTTGTTCATGTAGTCTTCGATGCAAGTTGCCCCAGAATGTGCTTTGCATAATACGCACTTCACGCAGTTGCAAGGCCAGGACTGTGAGCAAGAGACACTGGTGAAGGCAAATCCTGCAGAAAAAACCTACGAAATTCTTCCTCATGCGTCCATAGAGGCACAGAAGCAATCTGTATAGCAAGCAGGTAAGATTTCCACTCATTGCTATCTCTGACTAATTTATTAACACTTGTCTGTCTCGTACACATTTTGCTTATGTTTCAATGACTCTCTTACATGTTGCTATGTCCTATAAAGTTGTGCACTTGGAAACACTTGCACTGATAGTTGTGCTTTTTCACAGGGCCACCGGCGAAAACCAATCTAGGAGCATGTAGCTGGCAGCGCAAACGAAGTGGATGTAGCAAATAAACATTCCACGACGTGCAGTATGCTATACTTGCCAAGTGTCCTCGAATGCACCTTCAGACTGTGCAGACCCTTTGTGGGTTATGGGAATAGGTCTTGTGTCATGCTTGCACAGTGTCGACCGCTACCGAACGAGGTCAAAAGCTACAACAATTCACATGCCGTTGTCGGGTTTCCTTCTATTAGGGTAAACACAAAACCTACAATTGTCTTAGAGGCTTCAATGAGCCGTGGGAAAAAGACCTGGGGAGTTGACAGAGAATTGGAGATGGAGCAGCAAAATTAGGGGAAATCTTCACGAATAGGCAATGTGCCCACACTCCTCCTTTTGCATGCGGGCGAGACATCGTCTTAGGTTTTGAGCAAACCACAATTGGTAAGCCATGGGTCAGTGAGCGTGGAAATATTTGTGCATGCTTCAACTTAAATCTAAATTTAGTCCGGCCCCCCTAAAATCCGTCGTGACAAAGCAGCTACTTGCCTCGCTAAGACGGCAGGTTATCTGTTTACCGGTACGGGACATGCGACTGTGACAGATGCCCTAGTTCAGGAAAACTAATCCGACGAGTCAATCTGTGGGCAGCTACTTCATGAGAGATGTCAGGCTGGTGATTGGCAACGAGCTCACTGTAAAAGAGAATCGGGATGAACCGGCACCGACTCCTGGTGGACTCTGCAGTGAGCCTTTTAGAATGCAGTACTTACGTAAGCCGAGGCCTTGGCAGAAAAGTATGAGGCTGTAAGCGAGCTTCTTGGGCTGAAAGAAATTTAAATGTGTAACTAGGTCAGTGGCATTCTCCTTGCACAATGGCCGAGCTCGAGTGTACAATGCTGAATTTCTTCGAATTTGGGATCATCCGCATTTATTTCGCGTTGCTTGGATCGGTGCTTGTGGGCAGTTCTTTTTATATTCAGTTTCGGTAGCACACTAAAAACTAACAAAAAAAGAGAAAAAAAAAATGCCCTTGGAAAACTATACCCAATTTTCTCCAATTGTGTTAGTGCATTCGACAACTCTAACCTCACTCGAAAAAAAGTCGGAAGACTACCATAGAAAGCACAGCTGTTACAGACGCACCACTCGATGGTATGACACATTGTCTGCTAAATTATATAACTATTGACCCTTGCCTTTTGTTTATTACGGCTCGGGTATTCCTCTTTTGCTCGGACCTGTCAAAACTGTCGGGCATCAATTTGTTGTTTTCCAGCAAACACACAAATCCAGAAGCTCCGAAAGCGAGTGGGAAGGTGTGATCTCACCGCTTCGGTGAGGATATCCTCGACGTCATCCAGGGACACGAGGGCGGCCTTTGAGGGATCAATCTTCCTGTGCATTGCCTGGGTGACGTCGGCATGAATCGGGTTGCTGCTTGTCACGAGCAGGACGTCTGTTCTGCAAAGAAGGAGTGACGTCACACATTAAAGCGAGCGTCCGCGCGCATTTCGCCGCAAATGAAGGAAAGCGGGGCTTTACTTGCAATGGTCTTTCAGGAGGCTGGATATGTCGCTTCGACTGAAACAGGGCGATAGAAGAAGGCACGTAAGCAGACACAATCTTAGAATGACGTTAGAAGAGAGGCGGGAACCTCCCATGCCGTATGCAAAGAGCCAATTCTTGCCCCTATGAAAGGAGCCTGGTCAACAACGAGGCACAAGTAACGTTTGGACCCAGAAATGTGACCTGCACTGGAACATGAAGACCGACGTTTCGTGCTCCCAGATTTCAAGTGCAGGTTGCGTGTGCTCTGATCTAACTATTTGCTAGGCTCCCCATATGCTTGTGACTGGCTCTCTATTTACTCTGTAGAAAATTAAACATGGGAGTGTATTCACGAAACGGTTGACTTGTTCTTGAGTGCTCATAATGTGCTGTTTTTGGTTTCAATTAATGACTGTTTTGAAAGGAGCAAACAAAGTTCTACAAGTAGATAAAGTTTCATCCTAGGAAAAACATTAAAACTAGAGCATCTCCAGGTCGCATTTTTTTTTAACCGGGGACTGGAACTGGAACCAAAAACCGCGTTTAAGACCGAAATTTGTTTGGGTAATGTTCTCCGTTCAAAGAAGTGAAAGTATGCAGGTGAGCTGGTTAGGAAACATCACATTCAGAACTCTGAGACACAGCGAAATAAAATAACAAACAAAACGACACAAATTTTGTGTTCTTGTTCAAATAGTTTTTTTTTTTTTTTTTTTTGTATTTTTGGGTGCAATATAGCATTTCAGAGAGAGGGGGGGGAGAGAGAAGAGAGAAAGAAGCTCTAAACAAGTGTGAGAAAGGAAAGGACACAACTACAAAATACAATGGAAAACTGGTGATTTTTTAACGCCAAAGTATAATACAAGAGTGGTGAAAGAAACAAGTTGTGGTCTGTTGATGTGATGTTGAAAGGGAGGTGGTTCCATTCGGTCTAAGTGCGGGGAATGAAAGAGAAACGGGACATTGTAACAAGTGATGTAGTGTTTACTTTGTAGGGGTGATCCAGGCACGGGATGGTAATACGTTTTAAGCTAAGGCAAAGAGAAAATGCTTTTCTGTGCAATTTATTAATTTATTTATGTACCCTAAAGGCCCCCTTCAGCATTATATTTGTAGGGAACATAGCGCAATTTTAATAATAGAACCAAGCAAAAAATTAAATGAAGCAAATAAAAAAAAAAAAAATCTAAATCACATACTTAACATTTTATTTGGCACACTTTCGCACTCGTAATACAGTGATAAGGTATAGAAAAAGCAGTACATTAAAAACATGTCACTCGGTACGCAAGACACTGCATCATCTTGGCAGATGCCTGCATCTTTTTTGTTACTTTTTTCAATTCAAGCTGAAATAAAAGATAAGCAAGACTGATGGCAGTTTCTCCAGTGAGCTTGTTCCACTCCCAAATGGCAAGAAGTGGTGAATTTTTTAACCTACTGGCCCACACTGATCAAGTCTGATAAGGCTAATGTTAAAAGGGTGATCGGATTGTGGAATATATTCCCCAAAAAGTGAGGAACTTAACGCAGTTTGGGAAATGACCAGGCACTTTACTGAGTACCAAACCCTGCAGGGGTAATGATAGTAATAATAATAATGCTTTATTTGTTTTGTTTGTTTCATTAATACACTAGCCTGCAAAAATAAGCTATGCATTGCAGAAAGCTGAGAACCCATGTATAAATGATGCTAGTGGTGGTCATCAAATGCGAAAGTTTGAGAATGGGATCTTACCTAGATAAAAAGGAAACAAAATTTTTTTCATGAGCCGACGTTCACTTGGGCTTAATTTTGGCCACACTAAAAAATGGCATTGACAGTGCCCGTGGCATTTACTTCAATGGAAAAACTGGTCAGCAAGAAAGAAAACTGGATAGCTACATTCTTGCTTTGAGTTTTCAAATTTGACAGTATATTTCACATGAGAGCCTTTGACTAGACTCTCTGGTTTTATGTAGAATTCCAGAGACTAAATGTATGCCAAATATTTTTCACAAAAAGTATTAAAAAAATACGGGCCATAAAAACTTGATTGCCTGATTACAGTTTATTTTCGTTTTATACCCAAACTCATTTATGTTCGTACTATAGAAGTTGATATCGAAATAAGACACCATTCAGGTTAGTGCTGTCTTTCTGGGGATATGCAATATGAAAGGCTCAAATAACGAAACGCTGAAGGATATATGCTTTATACTGCTGCAGCTATTATAGTGCTTTTATGCGCCGGTTCACTTTCTCACAAACCCTAGTAATATTTTTTGGCACAGACGCTTTCCAAAATTCAGTATAACCTCTAGTGGTTAAATATCGCTCCAAGTTTTGTCATGCTAATGGTGGTATAAATGTACATATTTGGCACCATCACTTTCCTATGTGCCAATAACAGGCAAGAATGTATCCTTTGCCTTACATTCATTTCAGTTTCGTTGGTGTCGGAGAAACTCTACTGCTCTATATAAAACATTCCCCATATCGAGGGGCTTGAGGACCGTGCATGTATCAACTGATCGGCTACATGACAGTCCGAAATGAACGCTAGTGCAGAGACTATCCGATTCATGCATTACATTGGGCTAACGTCTAAAATGCACAGGCTTCATGCCCTCAGCTTTGGTCGTTCTTCGGTGCATGTCTTCAACTTCCTGTATCAGCCACCAGAAGGCCATCATTACCATGTCACTGATGCCACACACTTGCTTGATGATAGTGATCGAAGCAGCCAGGCTGAAGTTTGGAAAGGGTCTATTGCATGTGCTGAAGTTAGGTCTATTGCATGTGCTGAAGTTATACCCATTCAAAGTGGATACCATCAAACACTGATTCAATCTTGGTGAGTAAATGCTGTGTTATGACAGCATATTGTGTGAGAAATGTAACCGAAGGATTTCGCTACAATACAACCGGGACAAAAGTTTTGCTCTGCTCTGCTAAGTCAATGTCATGGTTCCTTAAATATAATGAAGCAATGAAAAAATTTAGCTCTATAAATTATATAGTCAGTTTGTTGGCTGTATTTCTTTTGCTCTTCATTTTCTCACAAGGATTCTAATAAGGTCTCGCTGAATATTGAGAGAGCAATAAAAAACTAACAGAGTAAGTTTTTGTTCAGTGTAGGTGGTCTAATTTATAAGACATTTTTATTTTTGAACATTGACTTGAGTGACTAGACTATCTGAGTTACAAACTTGGTTGTATCTGTTACCCCTAGACACCTTGCTTTTAAAGAAAAAGTGGAAACAAGAGACAGTTTCAATAATGCTTCAGTGGGCATTATTTTTCTCACCGAAACAACTTTCTAATGTTAATTTTCTGGCTCTCGACTCGAGCTGAAAGAAATCCGTTTTTTTTTGGGGGGGAAATCGGAACTGGTGACCGAAATCCTGAAAACTGGAACCCAACAAAGATTGTACATTAATTACAGTTCCTGTAATCGAACCTGAACAACCCTTCTCAGGGTCCCTGAGTTTAAAGGGATACTACAACAAATTTCGGCGCTCATCTTTTGGTCTATATGTGTTCAAAGGAGCAGTATCACATCGAACATACCAATATCTTGTTAAAAAAGTCTCGAAAAGGAATTTTAAAACAAATTAAACGATTAGCAAAGAGCACCTGGTGGATGTCGCTAACGCCTCGCTTGTAATGCCCGTCTAGGAACCTTGACAGCTAGTGACGGAGGTTGTCTCGCTTCTGGCCACGACGAGAAAAGAGGGGAAGAAGGAACTCCCCTCTTCCCGAGAATGCCTTTTGTGTGTCGCAGAAGTCGCTATTGTCCCCCTACAAGATTATAGAAGATTAACCGTCACTCAAAATTCGTATAAAAGCTGCCGCTTCGGTGGCTGGAACGACTGGGCCATTTTCTCGACGTCAGCCTTGCCGTAGCTTTGCTCGTCCCGAGACGACCTACGTCACAATTGCGTTGGACGTTACGTGGTCTCCGCTGGGCCTTCTTCGAGCGCTTGCCAGAGTGGACCGTTTATAACGAAAAATACAGCCACCAGGATCAAAATACAAACGTGCGATTGCCATTTACGGATATTGTGGATCATATTCAACCTATTTTTGAACACGAAGGGAATAATTCAAATTTCGTTGAAGTACCCCTTTAAAAGGGGGGGATGCAACGATTTCCAGGCTTTGGTCAAAAATTTGTGAAAGTTGCCCTCTGACACTTGTGAAGTAAAGAACAGAAAACCGATTTCGCCTGCGTGTCCTAATTGTTATCTAAAAAAAAAAAAAAAAAAAAAAAAAAGATAAGTATCGGCATTACTGGCACCCCTCAACTCACTCCCAGTCTTCAGGGTCACACATTGGTCGCACTCCTAGTGATGCAGTGCGGGATGCCGTGTAGGTTCCCGTGTGCTCTCTCGGAGGACGCTTCCTCTCCCTCTCTCTGCGAACATTAGCGGCCGTTATGCTGCAGTTTAGAACCGACTGAGGTCACGTTATCTTTTCGCCGTGTTCCTTCGGCTGCCACTCGCAGCTGCAGATAAGGGAAAAAGCTAGACTTTTGCTTTGCAATTATGCAGCGGAGTTGCAACATTTTTCATGAAGGAGATGTTTTTTTTCTATCCTCCGGAACACGATAAACAACATAAAAGTGATGAGATGCAAATTCTTTTAATCTTAAAATCGTTGCACCGCCCCTTTAACTTCCAATACTGAGAGCTACGCATTTACAAACAGTGGGAAAATAGAGAACAGCCTCACGTGAGATAGGAGCTGATATACAGGCAAGAATTTTTCCTGTTCATCTTTTGTCCACTTTTTGTGTATTCCATGACAACATCCTTTCCGGAGCTTTTGCTGCTGGCTGGGTTTGTACTCTGCTCCAGTTTGGAGTAAAAATCACACAATTACCCTAGATTCGTAACTGCAGCATACACAAACAATGCTCACCATGATCTGTGAAAAGCCGCTCTGTTCCAGCAGTTTTGAGAAGACCTGGAATCGAGACAGCGTCATGAAGGAGTATCGGCCAGCAGAAAAGTGAACTGGCTACCCACTTTTCCAAATTTGTGGAAAACAAGGAAGTGTTCCAGAGGTGGAGCTGTCTTTTCATTGGTCTGGTTCCAGTACATAACCTGTATAAGGGTCGGAAATTATATTATCACAATGGCACTCAACATGCATTTGAATGATTCAATATAAGGGGAAAAAACTTTCCCGGTAATTGAAGAGTTCCAGCATGTTTGCCTCCATCGCATTGCAGTGTATCAAGATAGAGCCGAGGACCAGCTCTGGATTGTTAATCTGCGATGAAAGGAAAAGACTAGCATTTTATTGAATGCAGGACGAGATATGGGCAGCCCTTACCGTCAATCTGGCAAGGACGTTGGCCCCTGCACCCTCCCCGAGGGCCACGCAGTACGGAATCCTGTTGGATGCAAACCGGGTTGGGCCATTCAGGCACGGGAGGGCGGGTCAATAGCACTGCTCTGCACTTCCTGTTTGTGTTTACTGCTTGTGGCAAAAGACTGCACTTCAAACTGTCATCCTGTCTTGATCCCTCTAGGATTGTCATACACACATCCGATTTCGTCCCCACTATCTATGAAGCACTTTCTTCAGCGCCGTGACGCAGTTCTGAAACGAAGCTGGGGAGTTTCGGTGCTGTAAACACAAAGGCTCTTTCAAATCTGTCGAGACGGGTCAAGGCTTATACTAGGGGGCCATCGATGGATGGATACGGCTGAACTCTGAATCAGGAGGTGGCTTGCACTACCTAACTTCCACCTTCGATATATGAAAATAGTGTTATGAATTGGGGGGACCTCTGCAAAACAAGCCAAAAAAATCTACTCCTGCTTGTGGCGAGCTTAAACTTTCATCGAAGTGTATTTTAGTGGTAAAAGAAAAGCAGGAAAAGTGTGTTTACGCCATTGGACTACCCTACACGAAAAACGGGAGCAACCCTAGTGGCTAAGGGGAATTCTAGGAAACAACTGTCAACAAAGGCTTGACTTTCGGTTTCCTCCATCATACCACGGACTAGTATCTCACAACTCACCGCATCCTACCCCACCATAGTTTTCGTGGTAATTGACATATGCATGTGGATACAGTAAAAGTATATGTTTCTTCTCGTCACTTTATTGGACAATAAACATTCAAGGCGAAAGCAAGCCTTGTTGTAACAACGAAGCTAAACTTGCCACCGATCGGCATATCCTGCTTTCTGAACCAACTTGGTGTGTGTGTATTTGTTTTAGACTTGGACAGACTTCGAGGAGAACCAGCACCAAGATTAGAATTAGGGTGATCTTGGTGCTGGTGCTTGGTGCTTTCACAATGTCTTTGTGTTCTTTCAGTTTTGCTACGTGGTTTCCTTTGGCCTTGCATGGTTCACTGTCTGATAAAGTCACAAAAGGAAAAGTACTATGCTTACTGCATCATGTGCGCGCATGGATCGATACATGAAGACTATGAAGAAGTGTGCAGCGGGGGGGGGGGGGGAGACAGAGGTCTTAGGTGTCCGCGGCTGGCCTTTGTACGATGGAGGAAGCAGAAACTTGGATCTTCATTGACGGTTGTTTCCCAAAATGCCCCTCAGCTGCTAGGGACAGTCCGGTTCAGACATTGTCCATTGCATCACATATTACATTGGTTTTCACCTCAAGAAAAAAGGATGTTTTGCGCATTGTTCATGCATTGCGCGAACTAGTTCTTACAAGATTTGGTTGTTGGAGGAAGAAGTGATGCTTTTGGCATTTGAAATGTGTACATCTTGATAATAACACACATCTAATCTAAAATGCACCTATATATGTCTTACTTCTTCACATAAAGGGGGAAATTAGTAATGCTCCCCGAGGACCCGGACTTGTTTTACTACGGTTCTTGAGGTGAAAACGAGTAGAGATGCACATTGACAGTTTTGTTTGCAATTAATGTTTCCTCTTGTGCGTTTTTTTTTTTTTTTTTTTTTCTTTTTTTGCTTTACGGCATTTACAAAGAGAGGTCCTCCATCCATGCCAGCCGCAGGCATCCTGCATATTTGTGGCTCCTTGTTCTTCCTGTTTCTCACCGCTCAAATAGGGTGAAAGTGCAGGGTACTTTACCCATGGCTGAGTAATTTTTAAGAAAAGGACACTTCGAATAAAAAATGACTCCTTCAGAGTAGCAACACTGATTGCAGCGGATGTGTGAATGAAAAGTGATAATTAGCAATCTAATTACCCAAGATCACTAATGAACTTTTTAAATATTTGCCTGGCACATTTAGAGATTTGCCTGTCCAAATATGCTAGAGTAGTTGGATGTCAAAAACTAAATTCTTCTCTGGGCTGTTCATTGGCGAAGTTGGTTTGTCTAGTCTGTCACGCCGAAACTAAGGGGAAGAAAGCTGTGTGGCCAAGGAGACCGCAGTGTTAAGGTGCGTCTTTTCTATGAATATGTGACCTTTGGATAATGTGACTACAAGATTGATTTGCAATGACTCACTGCTATGCACCCGCCGCAGAGGCTAACACTTCTGGGTCGGGTGGGATTTTCATCACTCTCTTGGGGCTTAGTTTCAATATCTTTTTTTCTTCATGGCTTAAATTTGAAAGAACAGCGCAGAGGAGAATTTTGTTTCATTATAAGACGCGGCGCATAACGCACAGATATCAATGGAGGACATGTACGACAGATGGGCGCTCATCTGTTGTTTGTGTCTTCCTATGGTCCTTGGTTTTGTGCACTCTGTTTTGTAAGAAATTAGCACAAACAAGCCCAGTTTTCAGTACTTCTGCAAAATTTGGTTTCTGTGAATTCTAACAGCCATGACATATTTTGATAATTGACAACATGCCAGCTAAGGCAAATATATTAGGTTACTTAGCGAATATTAGGTAATTAATTTCTTAATTATAATTTTACACTCGAAACCTGATGTCCACTGTAGGTTTTTCAATTCTTGGTGAAACACCCTGGGTATAGTATACAGTTGAACCTCGATTTAACGAAGTCACCGGGACCCGCTAATTATTTCGTTAAATCGGTAACTTAGTAAAATCGAGAAAGACATTTTTCGGGCATGGGTGTGCGGGGAATCCTCCGAATTTGTTCGTTAAATCGAGAAATTCGTAAAATCGAGTTTTTTTAAATCGAGGTTCAACTTCAACAGCATTTTATATCGAGGTTCAACAGCATTTAAAAATTTTAAAAAGCATTTTTTTAAATCGAGGTTCAACAGCATTTTATAGTGTTTTTTCAGAAACTTCACGTGTGAAGAAGCAGATTATTGATCAAATTTAAAATGCGATCAAAATCAAATGTGAGTGGGTTCATAGCAAAATGTCATGACTTGTTAGAATGCGAGTCTACCTACTACAGCTCCAGAAAAAATATTTCACGAACACAGTCACAAAAATAGCCTGTACAAATGTGAAAAAAACTTACTTGAAGTAGTGCAGGACTGACACCATTTCGTGTGCCAGGTCATCCAAGGAAGGAAATTTGTAACTGAAAAAGGCAATGGTCAAGTTTCAACTGAATCCAGGGTAGCTATTAATATTAATTTCATTGAATTGAGAGAAACTCATAAATTCAACGCATCAAATAGGGAATAATGTTGGCCTCGTTAAGTCGAAAAACTTCCTCGCATTTGGGAGAAAACCCAAGTGCTAAACCAAGAACACGAGTTTGGTTTTCTCTTGTCTCTGGCTTCCAGCACAAACCTATATGATCAATCGTCTGCCTTGTTACTTTAGCTCCCGTATGTTGAGGTCGAACGCGTACTGACTCGGCTAAAATACCTGGCGCAGGAATTGCATCGAATTGGTGCTGTGCATTGTCCTATTCTGGTCCCTGTTCCGTTATGGGCCTTCATTAGTTTTGTGATCCTTCCAGATCAAAGGTCACAGAGCCTGTGTTGCCTACTGCAGCAGCAATGCTTCTTCTCACTTGAAGAAAAGTCAATTTGACCCTTTGTATATGGTTATGGTAGCAGACTTGATTTTCTAAACAGGGCAAAAATGGGACTTTCAGTTGACTGTTTGCTATGCCATTGGATTTAAGGACCGGGGTCAACTTTAATTGTATTTGTTAAATTTCAACAAAACTTTATGTCTCAACAATATCTGCATGATGCCAAGGCCCGGGAATCTCCTGCGGAACTAACAAAGTACAAAGCATCTCTCGGTGAGAGCAAACTGACTGGTTAGCTGCGATCTAGCAGCGTGGCAGCTCTTTCAAAGCTGCCTGTAACAAGAGTTCAGGACCAGTGATTGTCCAAACATTCTGCATCTGTCTTTGTGAATTGGAATCTTTGTCCCCTCTTTGCATGCTCGCATGCATGACTTGCAGAATCTGCATTTCTTCATAATGACGCTTACAAATGAAGTCTGTGGTTAGTCTCTTAATATTTTGATGGTGCAGCATGCTGGTGCAACTCCCATCCAAACAGAATCCGGTCAGTAGTCGATATATAAGGTGTGACTAACAAGTTCGAAACTCCTTTCACAGGTTACGCTTTAAGCTGTGGCCCTTCTACGAACTCAACCAGTAAAGTAGGTACCTGCAGCACACATGCAGAAAAAAAAAAAAATCTGCATGTGCAAAAAAAAAAAGTTACAATGTGCCTCGATTCACTTCAGTCAATGGTGTGAGGTACATAATGCTATGTGGCATAATCGTGCATTACCGTGACATAATTGAAAAAAAAGATAACTGCGTAGTACTTGGAATAAACTCTGGGCTCAATGGCTTTGGGGCAAAGCGTTGGCCTAAACATCCTCAGCCGACGGGTTTGAATTTTGGCCGAGGTGCCCTCGACACGATGCAGGCCTATTCCGTAGAAATTTAAGCAGGATTTCGGTTGCACATCGAAAGATATCCAAGCGCTTTTAATTTATCTCCCATATTTGTCTTTGCCTGTGCCCATAAAGCATGTAAGTTAAACTCCGCTGATACATTCCCAGTTGATAATTTTTCCTGGCTGTTACGTCCACAACTGTCGGTCGTTGAGCTCCCTAGGAATATTTATCAATTTCTCGATTTTTTTTTTTTTTTACTCAGTTCTTGCATCCAAATACTACCACCCAAGACCACCGATGTGACACGATGGGCCGCGGTTACCCTCTTCTGTTTCACTCCCTCTTATTCACTTGCTTGTCCGAGATATACATTCCCTGTTCTTGCCAGGGCAGCCATGACCTTGGACTAGGCTTGAATGGGATTCAGGCCTTTGCAATTGCCCATTTATCTTACCACCTCTTGGCATTCGGTTTCTTTGGTCCTGCTAGTTTCATTTCGTGTGGTGTTAAAAATGAGTAATCGTGCACCATGCGCACGCGTGTTGCGCTTCACCGTTGTACACTGGCACACGTGTCGAGCTTCACTGTTTTACACCGGTACTCGCGTCGAGCTTTACCGCTTTACACCGCCGCACGCATCGTACCTCACCGCTTTGCACCGCCGCCCGCATCAGTTTCACTGCTATACATGCGTCAAGCTTCACTGCTTTGCACCAGTGTGCTAGGAGCAACAGCTGACATGGGGCAGCACTTGCATTAGCTTTATAGACTTGGAAATTTTGTGTAATCATGTAGGTCGACATTATTTAGTTATGATTATAGTGGAGGCCCCTAGTGTTAAAGAACAGCCCTGAACAAAATGTCAACCTATATTTAAATAAACATAAGAATGAGGTTCGGCTGTAATGTAAATCAGTTTTTTTTTTTATTTGCATGTTCTGGTGTTCCTAAAAACAAAAGCGCCGGGAGTCTCAGATTTCTTTCCTCCTGGACTACCTTTTCCTTACGCAAACCCGGAGGTCACATGTGCCAGTCACGCATTCAGTGCCATAGAGAAAGCCTCATTCCCACAAGCGAGGAACTAAGGCTTGGCATTCGGTCTGTTCTCCAGGACGCAGAACACAAAATGCGCTACAGTGTGGCCACAGAACCTAGAAGTAGCAAAATAGGAAAACAAAAAATGCCCTACAGCTAATAGCCACCTGTGTCATTGGAAAGTCATGACATCATCACAATGTCAATCCCAGGAGTGGGATGGATTATGTGGTTTCCTACTGCCACAGTCTCGTAGCCCCTTTAAGATGGGAAGAGAAACCAACTCGTCTGGCAAGTCGGGCGCCTCGTAGGTCTGTCCTGGCACTTCCACGTGGAGAAACACGGATTTCTCTCGGATGCATTTCATAGCCGAGTGCGTGGCAAATTTGACAAAATCCAAATCTGAAAAAACAGCAAAAAAAAAAAGACGAAAAAACTTTCAGGTGAGCTTGGAAATTATATCGCAACAAAATGTTTCGTTTTCTTTTTTTTTTTTTTTTTTGCATAAATTGGTGGCAAGGACGGATTGTTTTCTCCCACTTACAAGTTGATCCGACATCATGCATCGTCAGAAATACTGGTTTCCTCGGGTTCATCTTTGAGAGATCGCCCTGGGAAGCAACATATCCCAAATGGCATTGCGGAAAGGGGCTTTATTTTCTTGCCTGCGCTGCGACTCGCATAACGACCTTACAAAGTGCACATTATTACCTGGACATGAACGGGAAGGGTCCCACATCTTAGCGTTTTGATCTTGTACTCCTGGAACAAGAGTTGCTCGTAAAGAAAGGTAGATCGGACACTATTTAGAATGGTATGATATGAATAATGTTTCATTTATGAGCACACACTTTATTTCAGGGCCCTGAAATTAAGGGAATGTGCGAAATTGATGAATATAAATTGAAACAAGAATCTGAAAAAACATTTGATGAAACTATGAACATTCAGGCTAACATTCACAAAAATGGCTAGTTATTCTTTTTTCAAAAGGCAGTTCTACTCGATTACATTCTGGGAATGAAAGAGTCAATGTCGGCTGTGATATGACAGTGAATCGGTGTTCTGCACCACAGATGCTCATGTATTTCTAGATTAATTCTGCTATTAGCCATTAGCACCATACCTGGAAATTAATGTTCAATGTTTGTTTTGACCTTGTCTGCTCAGTGCATCTAAAAAAATGTGTACATACTAAAATGGTTTGCAAAATCAGTAACAACATATCGACTAGTAACTTTTCTCGAATATGTACTTTACTGGCATGAATTACTTCTTAAAATTTGAAGTTTCAACTCAGAGTACAGGTTGCGTCCATGAGGACCAACACATTTGGCACATCTTGCAAATTTCAAATTCCGAACATACGTCCCTGAAATTGGGCACACGAATGTAGCGTCGCAATGAGTTTTATGTCGGTTATGTTTAGAGCTCAACTCGGAGGTAGTGAAATATTAAAAAGCATAATGGGGGGGCCATGTATTTCCTATGTCCTATACCAGCCTGTTTCTCGTCTTCACACTGGTTTCTGAGCTCGCTCCCGGCTGGCTCTGAGCAAGATAATTATGATAATTAATAATTTTAACGAAATATATGAACAATGACCACCTGGGAGCATGCTTACAAACCAGTGCACAGATGACGAACATACAGTATAGGTCATAGGAAATGCACGGCTGCCGGTTTTGCTCTATTTTTATTATTTTACCACCTCTGACTCTGAAAAAAAAAATAGACATAAAACTTGTTGCAAAGCTACATTCGCGTGCCCAATTTCAGGCAAGTACATTTGGAGTTCAAATTTTGCAAGGCATTCCAAATGTATTGGCCCTTACGGCCGCACCTTGTATAAAGAAAATAAATAGAGCTGATAATTTCAGTGGCGGAGTGACAGGTGTCAGGAAGAGATGAAATAGTAGGTGTCAACATAAACTGCAAGCAGAAACCAACAATAAACTTACTGAAATTTAAAATAATGGGAAATACGGAGGTAGGGCGAGCGATGGTGCTTTGGTGGTTTACTGTTGGGTGTTTTTCAATAACCATTCAGTCGTCAGTTTAGCGCTCGTCCTGTGTACTTCTCCTGTCTTCGTTGTTTTGCTCGCTGTTTTATATATTACAGTCATAGCTGTTAGTGGCCTGTTCCACGGTTTTTCGACGGCGTGAGCGTAAATGCCGTCAGTTTCCCCGCTAAATTTAGCGGAAAAATTGACGTCACGTCACCTATGCACCAATTCAATTTCCCGCTAAATTTGGCGGGAAAATTGATGTCACGTGGCCCGACGTCACGTGACCTATGCACCAATTCAGTTTCCCTGCCAAATTTGGCGGGAAAACAGCACGACCTTAAAATCATTTATTCATCAACAATGTATCGACGCTAAATCAATGCAAAGTCATCTCAACATCAGATCACCGTATGACGCATCATGGCGCAATGTCAATCGATCGTCGTCATCGTATGGTTGAATAAGCACAGCTGCCGCTGTCTAGACGCATCAGAACGTGTGATGTGATGCGTGTGATGAAGTCAGGTGATAAAAACATTATTTTCGGCAGTGGCGTGTGAATTTCATGTTGCTAAACAAACATTTTTTTTTTTTTTCATGTTTGGTTTTATTTTTTGTATTTACAATGCATGTAACCTTCGAAACAACAAGTCCCTATTGGGAACATTAATATGAAAATATTCTTTGTTGAACATCCGAAAGCGGATAAGAGCGAGTGTGGTGTCAGTGCCACAGTGGTCAGTACTGTGGGCCTGTTCGTGACACCGTGTGTGCTCCAGAATTACTGCGCTGATTATGGCGCCATCTATGAGTGGCAGCATCAAGTTTGTTTGTTGGGAAATCGACCGTTTTCCTTCTTTTCTTTTTTTTTTTTTTTTTTTTTTTTCTGGAAATTGATTTATGCAATTTGAGTAGGATAAATGCACCTCCTAAAGCAAAATTCGTGAAGTTTCCCTGCACAATTTTGGAATTTCTCCTAACCCGAAATGTGTCTCGCAAATATTGCGCGAAGTTGTTGTTGTTGTAGTTTTTTTAAGGGGGAAAAAGGAAAAGGGGGGGGGGGGGGGGGGGGGGGGGGGGTATTTTGTGAGATGTGTGACCCATTAGGACGCTTAATAATAAAAAAAAAAATTTATGTTCTTCTCTCCAGTAATTGCTACTCTAGGGCAACTGGCCGTTCGCTTCGGAGCCCGCCGTTGAAGACGTCGAGGATATATGTCATTCCAATTCCATTGAAGCCTTGAAACTTCACAAGGTAGAATCCACCACTAAAATTCGCCCACGATAGAAAATTATTGTTTCCAACTCATAACAAAAAAAAAAAAATGACTAGAAATACAAATCTTCAAAGGAAACGCGCACGTCGGGAGGCACCGTACCTCGGGTGCAACCATCGTGGTGCACTGGCTTGACCTACCGTTCTCCTGTCTAAGCTGTCAACCGTGGTTCAACCTCTCATCTGATTTTCGGTGTTAAAGATAACACCATGACCACTGTTTAGCTGGACGGCCCTCTTGAAGTCGCTGGCGAGCCCAGGCGAAGCAGGGTGCGCTCCGAATGTGCTGCGCAGTTGAAGGGTTCCGCGCTTGCCGTCGCAATTTCGCCGGTTTCAACTTACCTTGACGAGCCACTCGTCGGCATCGAGCTCGTGCAACGCGAGTACACCAGTGTCCTCTGACATTACGGTGTTGAGGTGGTCGTAAACGAGGATACGCGCAGTCTCCACGCGCCCGTACTCCCTGGGCCACCCGTACTCCCTGCGCAACGTTTCGTTTTCGCTTTCGACTGCACATTGACCCCACCCCTTTCTCTCGACGTAATCGATTGCTTTCTTGTTGATGAGGTTATCCTTACGCAAAGGTACTCGCTTATTCAGTGGAGAGCTTGGCGTACCTAATTTGTGCTCGACATAAGATTCGCGTGCATAATCTCCACGTAATCGGCGGAGGTTTTGTTTTTGGGGGCGCGCAACCTGCCGAATGTCGCGTTAGTCGCGCTGTTATCATCATCATCATCATCCTCAGCATCCTCAGTTCGTTGGAGGAGGAGGTGGACTGTGCTGCTGATGGAATGCAGTGAAGGTGGGATGTCGATCTCCAATCTCACCGTCAAGTGGGCCGGAAAAGAATACCTGATTCCAGATTTGCCCCAGCACGCCTGCGTAGTGGACTTGAAGGATGCGATTTTTAAGAAGACTGGTGTCCATCCCGAGCGCCAGAAGCTGGTGGGCATGAAATGCAAAGGTGCGCGTTCCTCGTGTCTGCGCGGTTTCTAGCACGAACGCGTTCGATCGAATCTGTCAAACCACAACGGTCAGAAAATAATCATGCTGCTGGCGCTGCGCCCAAAGAGAGTAGACTGACGCACCTCACCCCTTCCTTCTTTCTCATCCTTCGAACGAGAACGCCGTTCGTTAAAGTGAACGGACGCCAGCGTTCACTAACGTTAAAGTGAACGAACGCCAGCGTTCACTGAACCTTCCGCTGGGTGAAACAAACGAATCTGAAACGTCGTGTATAGACCAATTCTTTCGCTGATCAGTTTTTTTGTTATTGCTTCCACAGCTATCCTTAGCGTGAAAATTGTGCACGTCGGAACCAACGGACGTTCTCAGTGCTGAGGCTGTAGCTCGGCTTCGAACGCTAGACTACCGTAGTTGGGCTCTCGCCGGAGAGTTTGTCCTACATAAATATATGTTGGAGTTCGATTTGTGCCTCTTCGCTCGAAGATCATGTGGTCTGTGCCAGGGGTTTCCCCAGGAATTGAAATTAGGGGGGTGTCTAAATTTTTAGGGGGGGGGCATTGAGAAAAGTGGAGTCGTTGTGAATTAAGGGGGAGTGTACACCCCCTAGGGCAGTGGTCTCAAACTCAATCAAGAGTGGGGGGGTTCAGAATTCCTACTCCAGAAAGGTCGAGGGCCACCGTAAGGCCCTTTTTCCAGGGGGAAGGGGGGGGGGGATTTTTTCAAGGGACCTCGTGTTTTCTGCTTTTTGTAAACTCGCAGTGCAGTTTGGCAGACATTTTTAGCTTTGATTTGTTTACTAAACTAATTTGGGCCCTTGCCTGATATAATAACACAAATTAAAATGGCACCGCCCCGCCAACGTGCTGTCATTTTAACAGAACGAGAGAGAAGCACGCTATCCTTCTGTTGCTCAAATTACTTGGGATTTATTCCAGCTCAACATGTCCCGAAAAAAAAATATTTTCGTGAGATATATTTTGCTTTACTAACGGTTTGTGTAGCAGCAGTTTGGAGGAAAAAAATCTCGTATTTTAGTGCGGATAATATATGAAGACGAGAATCTCGAACTCGTAGGTTTACCTATTTTTCTTCCGCTGAGCGAGAGTCTGTGCAGCCGAGGTCTGTCCTTGGAAGCAAAGGTTAAAACGAAACACAAGGCAAATGAAAACAAAATAGTACTAGCTATGTGATATATGTTCTAAGAGCAGAGCTACGCGTCCAGCGAAGTAAATGATTCTTCCATATGAGACATTTATAGCACATGCCATTTCTTGCGCTCGTGACATGGGAACGGGTGCTCGCAGCCGGTTGTCTGCGGGCCGCATCCTAGCAAGTCGCGGGCCGCGTGTTTGAGACCCCTGCCCTAGGGGGTGTGTAGGAAGATCACTGGTCTGCGCGACACTGTTAGCGCGAACACAACATCGACTCTCTTTCACATTTTGCTAGGACGGGGTACTTACGAACATAAAAGGTAATGTTGATTAGAGCATTTTGGTTGTAAGAGACTCCACGTAACTGGCGGTGGCTTGTACGTACTAATTGTGACTCTCTCTGCACTTGGCTGCAGTTCTGCGGCGTTGCATACGGCTCAGGCAGCTGACCTTTGCTGGGAAGGCTGGATTGGTGCATGCTACTTTTTCTTTTTTTAGTTTTAATGAAGCAATACTGCGGACCTGTGTAACAAACCACAAAAGGACAACACAAAATAATTTTCTTTGATTTCAGGTTTTATATTTTTCAGTGTCTAGCATTACACACTGCTTAAATCAAAATCGTAGCATTATGCCTCAAAATAGAAATTGAAGTTGCATTCTACACAACCTCAAATATGAATTAAGTTACGTCTGACAACGATCGTTGCTCACAATGTACAAGGCAAAGTAAAATTCCAATGTTACCACCAGTTGTTCATTGATAAGAGAAAATAGGCAAGAACCAGCAATTGCTTGTTTGTGCAACTGTCTTGCCCCCTGTACGTGTTAGACTGGCTGGTTGCACTTTTTACTCTTTTGTTCAATAAAATGTATGCATTACAGACATGAAAGGTTGAAACATTGTATTAAGAATAATACTTTAACAGGGCTCTGAATTCACACGCACTCAAGTTATGGTGTGTATAACTTTAATCTATACCGTAGGTCACAGATTTTCTGGTGTTTATGTACGAGAGAAGTATAATTTTTTGTGTTTATTTGTGTTATCTTTTAGTATTTCAAACTTTGGTGTATTTCGGCGAGGGGCTTTATGCAGACACTACAAACGGTAATTATTGGTGCAGAAAAATTGCCGATGAAAACAAGACTTAAAAAAAATAAAGAGCTCAAGTTTTACTTTCAACCAGTACACACCCTGAGCAGATATATCTTCTACACTCGGTTATAATTAGTGTTTAATGTTTCTGTCTAAACTAAAAAAGTATGCAGAGATTGTTTTCAAAATTCACTTTTGAGCGAGAAAGATCAGTATCGCGGAGGAATAAGGCACAACTAGCGAGCCTTATTGCTCTACATTTTAGGCCCAATCAGTGTTGTCAGGTTGTTTCCCTTTAATTTGGTGGTCATGTGCTCCTTGTGCCAACTTCGGCCTAAGCATAATAATTTGTTAAGAGGCTACATTTACAGCAATCGCACAGTTTTCACAAACAGAAAAGCAAAACAAGGACCGTGAGGTTCTTGGGTTGAATGGAGATGTTGCAGACCTCACCGAATAAAATCGGTAACTTTTCACCTGCGTAGATATTGAGCGAAAAAAAAAACTGTTTTAAGATTAAAAAAAGTATGCTGAATATGTAAAAAAGGAGAAAAAAAAATGATAACAGACAACACCAAACTCAATCTACCAATAGGTGCATTTATACCGCAAGACATTTGCATCAACCGTGTCCGCACGATTGTTTGTTTCGAACGCACAACATGGAGAAAGCCTGTGTTCAAGATACAAAGCAGTCAAAAGTGGGAAATGAATCTCACTTTTCGCACTCTAAAAAGAAACAAGGGCCACAGTGAAGCAAAGCTTCTTACCTGCATTAAGACCTCTTAGATGAATGGGATGCTTCTATGTTACTTGTTCGGCGATCTTGGTGTAGGGCCTAGAGCCACTGAATAAGCTAGGTTTAGATCATCGGCATTCCTTTCCCCAATTTCCTTGTGGCTATTATGGTACTTAGTGCAGGGCGAGGGACCTTTTGTGGAAATTCCAAAAGGCCGTGCGCAAAATCTTTGCCCCTGCAGCATCTACGATGTGACACTGAAAAGAGAGAGGGATAGTGCAGCTGCTCATTGCTTACCTCTCCTTGCCCACTTGCTTGCATTCCTCTGTCATCTGCTACAACTGGTTGTCTACAAATTGCTCCCGGCATTTTTTTCTGCCCGCCAGACGGCACTGCACGTTTTGCAGCGGGTCAATTGGCGATCGTTACAATTTGAAAATGCAACTTCCTGAGGATTATCGGCAAGCTAGGGCGATATTGTTTCAATTTGTCACAGACTATTCTAACATTTCTAGAGGACGGAAGAGCGTTTCCTGCGATTTTGGATAAAACTTCAGACAACTGGCAACAATGCTTTTAAGCATCGAGGTGGCTTAAGTGTCACTACTCTGAAGTGTAGCCTACTTGTGACTCTAATAGGACCCTCTCAATCTTTCACGCTCACCGTGATGCGGCAGTACGTGCTGCAGCACCCTTCAAAATTCGAGTACTCGTTGACATAATCACTGGAGATTTTTTTTTTTTTTCAAATCTTGCTGGCTTCGTATGATGACAAGACTTGGAAATATTCCCAAGCAAAAGATTTCTTCCACAAGGAAGGGAAGTTGCTTTCCTTTCGTTAGCAGAATTCAACCGATAATGGCCAACAGTGTAGTTTCAAACTCTGCAGTCCAGCTCAGACCAGAGGCCCTAATCTGGACACTTGGCAAAAAAGTAGGCGAGAAATCTGGCGGCCGTGATTGGCCAATGCCGCACTTGACCTTGGCGCCGGCCAGTCAGAGCCGCCGGATTTCTCACCGACGTTTTCGCCAAGCGTCCAGATTAGGGCCCCTGAATAGAGCAACGACGTTGTGACCATCCATGGTGACTACCTGACTGAGCTCTCAGGTCTTCCAGGGTCAGTGATTCCACTGATTTGGGACTGGCTGGGTGCTTGGTTCTAGGTAAGACAACTCTGACGTGGTAACCTAGAAGCAGGGAGAAAACGGGACGAGCAACACACAATAACACGCCCGATAAAGTTGTCGGGAGGAGAAGCTTCTACTAAAATAGTCGTCACAAAAATGTACAGAAACCGGCGTTTATCATTTTTAACCAATTTCATATTTTTGTCACCGTTAGACATTTATCGGTGTTGGTCGGCCAAAACTTGAAGGAGTGGCAGGTTATATTTTTTCCGACACAGGTTTTATTGTTACTTGGTTTACGTTGGATGTAACGTGTTGATCTGAAATTTTTATTTTGTATTTCATTGGATCTAATGTTAAACACTAGGTTTATATTTTTCAAAATTCTAAGAAAGGGGGAGGCGAGAAATCAAGTTTTGTTTCTCTAGCTAACTTATGGAAAAGGTGACTTTGTTTGCTTACATTTCTTGTTCTAAGTAGGAAGATAAACCTTTCTTTGCTTGCTGGTAGCAAGTGAGGAATTAAGAGCTTGTATTTTGCGCCTGTTGTATTATTGACTAGTTGTCCTGACTGGAGTGTTTATTTTTTAACTAAAAAATCGCAACAACAAACAAAAAAAATGGTTTCTGGCAAGGTTTGTTGCTGCTTCTCTCAAAGTGATTTGCTTTGCTGGAAATTTAGTTATTTTGTCACATAACACATGTCATATTTAGGCACTTAAAAAACGTTTTTTTGGAGTTCAGTGTCCCCTTTTTAATCAATGGCAGGCGAAAACGATGGATGCATGGATGTCGGTGCTCTCTGCTTTTAGGGGGACTATCGGTCTGGTAACATTCCTTTTCGTTTCCTCCAGGTAAGCCGATAGCGGAATGGGTGCGCCTGAGCGACCTCAAGATGGAGCCCAACTCGAAGATCATGATGATCGGCAGCCTGGAGCAGAACATTCAGTATGCATCGACGCCCCCGACCGATCTCCCCGAGGTGGTGAACGACCTGGACGAAGAAGATGACAAGGGGGTGCTCGTCGAGAACCGGGAGGAGTTTGTGCGCAAGATCACGAAGCGAATAAAGTCCTACGAAATCAAGATGCTCCACGAGCCGAGGCCGGGCAAGAGGCTCCTTGTGCTCGACATCGACTACACCGTTTTTGGCAAGTGGGCCACCCTTTCTTTTTTTGTTTTCCCCTGCCAAGTTGGTTTGCTCACGTTTTCTGTCGGCCATCCGCACTGGCGGTACGGTGTCTGAAATGCGTCTTCGACTGGTGTGTTTGGCATCCTATTCCGCCCATGCATCGAATCTGGTCCCGAAGTGGCAACAAATGACGTTGCAAAAGCCGGAGTGTCATGCTGTTGGACGTCGCGATCCGGGGGCTACACAGCGGTACCGAATCAACGTCGTCTGCTGCAATTGGTCAGCACCGCGCTGCTGACTAATTGCAGCAGACGACGACGTCCCGGTCGCTTGGTCCCGCCGTGTAGCATAGGGCCCCTGGTGGTTGGCCATACAAGTTCCAGCAAAAAGTCCTAGCGAGCGCGAGTGTCGCTGCCGTTGCAGCGTCCCAACTCCTGGCTGCCGAAGCTTCCGTGGTCTGTCAAGCTGGGGAGTGACCTGCGGCAGAACAGGCGTCTGCCACATGCACCACCGCTGCTGTGACACCGCCAGGACCGGTGACAGGATAACACTTCTATGATGTCATCGGGCAGAAATTGAGGAACCACATTTGAGGACGCTTAAACACACCAGTCAGAAACACGTTTCAGGCTCCATAGTGCTGCCGCCAGGAGCACGGCAGGCAGCAGCATGCCACTTTTATGACGTCATCAGGGGCAATCGAGGGACCACAGTTGAGGACGTGGTAGGCACATCGGTTGGGGACGCATTCCAGGCACCATTCTGGTGGTAGCTCCAAGATGGCACACTGACACCTACAGACTCTCCGAGAGTGCGGTCAAAGCCTAGCACATTTGGGCCAGACCCAAAACAGGAGGTGCTAGGAGAATCGTGGGGACCCCGAAGAAATTGAGGATTTGAACGTATATGTATATAAATTGGATCGAAAAATTTGTGCAAATGAACGTCGTTACAGCTTGTCACGTGTGCAAGGAAAAGAAAATCTGCTTTTGCACATACTAGAGATGATTGTAGTCTATCTCAAATCATTTTAATGTTTGTATCAGATGAAAACCAATACAGTAGAACCTCGTTGATGCATTTTTCAGGATATTGCGATAAGAGAGCGAGGGAACGTAATAACCGATAATGCTTTTCGGGGCCAATAAATGGGACAGAAAGCAGGTCTCTCGGAGCTGTTTATTTCACATTGATTTTCACGGCTGTAGAGGACTATAGTGTTTAATAAAGTAGTGGTCAACTTTTTCTTTCGGAACTGTCATTTAAGATTTGGAGGTCTGTCTATAATAGTAACAAAATGATGTCTACGCATACAAGCAGGCAAAATTCTCCATTGAGCTAACCCAGATGCTGCACCAAGTCGGCCACTGCTCTTAGCACACCGGTGCAAGGTAGTGAAGCTTGATGTACATGCACCACGAGCATGCGGTGGTGTGGTGCATGATTAGAAACTCCGAACTTCATGCAAAATAAGCCGTGCCTTCCAAGCCTAGTTGAAGGTCATGCCCACCTGAGCAAGAACGGGCAAGTGCGATGCCGAGGCAAAGAGGTAAAAAAGAGGGGGAGCAGAGCAAATCAAAGAAGGCGGTTGCTGCTGGGTGCCTGAATGCATCGCATCGGCTGTGCCAAATAGCAGTATTTGGACACAACATGCTGTAAAGGCAAATGCAACAACCAGGAAATGAATACACATGTCCCTGTGAGTGTTCAGCAAGAGTGACAAATTGTGAATGTAACAGGTAGGAAAACATATTAACTGAGGATGTATCAGCAGGCTATACTCTAATCATCTCAGTCCAGAATGGTTGCCACACTCATGGAGGTTCGGCAAACCGGTATTTACGTCTTGACTTTGCTGAGATAGTCGGGTAAAACCTATGAGTTGCGAGAGGTATTTCTAGATGTCGTTACAATGGATTTGGACTTGGTCTCACTTTTTCGGCAATCGTGAAAACTCTTCGGAGGTTCTCAGTAGAAATCTGGTTCTTTAGTGGGGTTTCCTTTTCGCTGCCATCATTCGAATATCTAGACTTGGTCTCCGGTGTGAGAGGCAGTTTACCAAGATTCGATTACTCTTGTTTTTGTTTGCAGATCACCGAAGCACTGGCCAGTCGATAGAAGAGCTGATGAGGCCGTTCCTTCATGAGTTCCTTACGTCTGCTTATGAAGACTATGACATTGCGTTTTGGTGTGAGTTTTTGTACAGTCGCTTGAAACTCTGACACTGTCCACCTCACGGTGGTCTTGAGCACAATCGGCTCATTTGTGCTTCCTTTCCCTGTATGCTCCATACAGGGAAAGGAAGGGGATGGAGCACACCCCTCTGTACTCAAAGAGCTTGGCTTACAGCTAGGCAGAGCTCTCAGCTTTGGCAGGCTCATCATCTGCCAAGGCTTCCAGCAAGCAGAAGTAGCATATGCTTTATGTAGGGTGGAGATTATGATATAAGTTGTGATTTAAATACCAATTTAGATTGTGATTTAAGTCGGACCGGTTTTCCTATAATTTAAATCAAACCTTTTCTACAAAAATATACCCAGAAACATATTTTTGTTTACTGTTTTTTTTTTTTTTTAATCAAGGAATTATGAAGGCAGGAATGATCTATATCAGGCTGAAAACGAGCACAAAGCAGCGGTCTTCTGAGCAAATTGGAATGTTGAGCTTTCTTTCTACCCCCCGCTTCATTTTTCAGTTACCGAATGTCCTCCTGCAAGTAAAATAAGAATGAAAAAGAAAAAAAACTAACATTAAAAAGGTAATGTCCTGTTGCAGAAAAGTCAGAATGAAAAAAAAAAAAAAGCTTTTTCACCAAAAAAAATTGCGATGCTTTTGTTCTATTATGGCAAGATTTACTCAATAAAAAGTCGTTAGACTACTATAAATTTACAGTAAATCTTCCATTTGTTTTCAGTGGTCAAACTAATTGATCAATCAATTTGTCACGATTAAAAACACATCTATAGTGATTAAGAAGCACTATTTTATAGCGAGTGATTTAAATCAAATAAATTATTTATTTGATTTGTTCATAAAAATCATTATTTTTTCTACCCTGGCTCTATGTGCTCAGTGTTTTCAGGGTTTATTTTTCGTCAAACTTGGGGGTTATTTTTTCCCACAGAGTCATTGGTGTTTTTCTGTGTCAAGTTGTGGTGCCTGACAAAAGTGGGTGTTTATCAGGCCTTATTTTAAAGAAAACAGGACATTGGCATAGGATTCCCCAATCTCCAGACAACATGCACATGACCTGAATACTTGTAAAACGTTCATGTACAAAATGAAGAGGGAAACGAGATAAGGGTTTTGGTTCCTGAACAAAGAAGTAGCCTCGCGGTCAGTTCAGTGCGCCTGTGTTAGAAGTAAATACAAAATAAAATTGTAGTTTAAAATTTGTACTCATAAAGCTCAATGGGTCTTGAGAGTTTTTTTTTTTTTTTTTTTTTTTTTTTTTTTTGGGGGGGGGGGGGGGATTTTTTTAGTTTTTCCCGATTTTGGGAAAACCGGTTCAGAGGGTTAATTTTGGGGTTTATCGGTAGTTACCGAAAACACGAAACCTTTGCTGTATACGAGCCCAGTACAAATACAGTAGAACGCCAGTCGTACGACTTTCGGGGGACTGCATGAAAATGTTGTATAGCCTGTGAGTAGTGTACTCCGAATAACCCGAAGAACAATGATTAGGACTTCAGTGCTCGGCCCCGCGCAACAGAAATACACTGAACTTCTAAAAGTACTTCTAAGATAATAATCTGCTGGGCAGGGACAAGAGCCCACGAGCGCGACCGGACGAATCAAGGGATTGGAGCACCAGTGTTACATCATGAAAATAAATGATAATAGAAAAAAAAAAAAAAAAAGGAGAGAGAGCGGAGCGCGAGAGCAAAGCAGCACATGGCACAGTTGGTTGCAAGCACATATTCGGAAAAGCTTGTGAAGTAAGTCAAAGAGGCTCTCTGTTTACCTGGTTTACGGGGTGGAGACAAGGCGTAGGTAAACACACCTCTGATTCACACGCTAGCTTTTAGCCAGCTCCCTGATTTGCTATGCATATTGGGTAAGGTAATCTGGAACCGTGCTTCCCATGTGCTCCAAATCTTTCCAAAATTACTAAGTGATGTAGTAATTTTTGATGATGTTCAGCAAGTTTTTAATTGGACCCAAATGTTAATTTTTACTCATTAAAAACTACATTTTCAAATATTAGTTAGTTATCCGTCTTATTGTGACGATTAACTGCCTGTATTATGTCCCCTGGCTGTATAACTCATCTGCAGAGAGAGCATTAAAGTAGCTTTCAAATCCTTTTTTACAAAAATTTTCAAAGGCTAAAAGAACACCCGGTATATTAAAACCATGATGAGTCTGGAATTATCTAAGCACTATATTTGCAGTGTTTGTGTTTGACAATTTAATGCTTATTTGTGTATTTGATACCCTGGGGGTCAGAAGAATTACAAAGAGAAGTGACATATAGGAGATGTAATGTGCAAGCAAACATTTATGTGAAGGGTGTTAGACACTGATTGGTTGAGCACGCTGTCTACAAACATCTTGGAAAGTCCAGATCAGTGGTTCTCAACCATTGATGTTTCGCGGACCCCTTGTGGGTCGGTGGAGATGATGAAGGACCCCGTTCTTGTTGAAGGAAAGGGAAAGTTGAAGGTTAATTATGACAGTGATTTAATAACGATATAACTAAGGGCTCGTGTGAAGTGTACTTGTCTTATTAACATATACATGAGAAAACTCGCCCAAAAATTGGACTCTTTCCTCTCAATCTGAGAAAATACAACATTTCTTTTAAGACAAACCCCCGAGACTAGGGAAAAGATGAAGGGCAGCACAACACACAGAGTCTCAAACTCGGCTTAATTTCTGGGCTTGACTGATGAGGCTGGGCTTTGCAGACCCCCATCTGGGAACCACTGGTCTCGATGATAATGTGGTGACAAAAAGCATAAAAATGGCATTCCACATAAAGAACCAAAGTCTCTTTCCAAGTAAACTGCAGAGAGAAAATTGTACCACAGTTTCCTGACATTGTTTGCAACTTGAATTAACGGTTATCGTAAAGCCTTCTGAAGGAAAAGTATCACCATCTGACCATGTGCGCCATAAAGGCTTTCAAAAGCATTCTGCCAAAGTTGAGATGCAGGGCGGTTAGTTTCTGCACCGAAGCGAGGAGATAAGGGCCAAAAAGTTAATTTTTCCATTGAGAAAGTAGGGTAGCCACACTGTGGTTCAAAAATTATTTCAGATACAACAGGAGAATTGAAAACGCTTTTACCTTCTTTATTTTTATGCACATTTTTGTTTGTTCGTTTAGGGTTTCATTTTCTATGTAAAATACATGCTACCTTCTTAGTCCTAAAAAAATTACGTAGTTTGCAAATGGAGCGCAGTTTACATGTCAAAAGGTTTGTTCATTGTAATTTAGTGGGGACATTGAGGTGTTAGTAATATGAGAGAGAGTTCATAGGATTGAGGTTTGTCTTCAAATGGGTTTATTCTCATCATTATTAACCGAGGTTGTGAAGTTGTTTCGTGGCCCTGTAAGGTTCTTTACTGCTCATTGCAGGAGTTGGTATGGATTTTCTTTAATTTTTAATAAATCTCCATCCATCTCTCGGAAGACTGTGTTTCATTGCGAAAGCATTAACTGTCTCATGGAGCTAGCTGATGTCATCAGCTTTGAAACCATGCAAAACGGCACCTTAATGAAACCACGCACAAAGTTAGCCAACAACACCTTTTACACTTCAGTTCCGTTGGCTGGCGCGCGTCGACGAGGCCCCCATTGGCCGCTGTGCGTCAGTTCGTGTGGTATCATCCTGACTGTGTTATCACACTTGTGTTATCACTGATCACCGCGTGCGCTCTCCTCTTATCAGTTCTACTGCGCTTGGAAATATATACAGCGCATGGAATAAACCAAGGGGTTTGTTCTGCTGGGAACTATGTTGCTGCTGTTCCTTCCTTGCGTCGCAAGGCACACGAAAGTTTGAACGATTGCTCACCCGAGGGCGCTGCATGTCCGTGAGGCAGCGGCTCCACCGTTCCACGCCCAAGGTCAGCGCGTTGTACGCCGCAGATTAAAGAAGGGAGCGAAGAGCGGTGTGCGTGCTTTTGCATTCACAACTCATAAGGAGTGCTTACCGTAAAATACCGGGCAAGCGCCCACTCGAACTTTAGAGACGATTGCGAAAAAATGGGGGTGGGCGCTTGTCCGGTCATCAATTTTACATATAAATGTACTGTGCATATTTTTTCACATCTTAGAAATTTGGATATGGGCACTTAATGTCGAATGGGCGGATGCGCGGTATTCTGCGATAGGTGTATTGTCTCGGGAAATGTTACCTGCTTGTCACTGAGGCAGCTGACGTGCCAAACAGTACTTACGTGGATGCTCACTTTTCAGCGGCCACGAATATGAAGTGGATTGATACCAAGCTTTGGGAACTTGGAGTCACGCGCCACGCCGAGTACAAGATTTGCTTCTTGCTTGACTCCGCTGCCATGATCAGCCTGCACACGTCAAAATTTGGCATGGTGGATGTGAGAGCCTTCCTTGTTCTATCTTCGGCCCCTGGGCCTTTAATGGGCTCCAGTGAAATTTTTTATAGTCTCTGATTTGTCTAAAAATTGGTTCAACACATTAATAGACGCATCTGAACTAGTACCTAAAATTGCAAGGCACAATAATTTTTTCTCAAAGTCAATGAAGCTGTAAATTTGGTCTGATAGGCCGAGCGGTTCTACTGGCAATACTAGAAATGTGACGTCAGAAGTTGTGATGTGGGGCAATATGGAGGCATTACAGCGTGTGCTTGATGGGTTACAGGAAGTTTGATGGTGTGAAATGGATGCTGGTTAAGCTCATGTAAGCAAAATGAAAAACATGCACAAAATATATTTTTTATACTGCCTGCTCGATCTGCAAGTTAAATGTGCGACGTCACCCCACTGGAAAGCTTGGGAAACTTTGGGTTTTGACATCACCTTCATTTGCCATTTTTGAATAGCTATTTTGAATTTAGAGATATTAAATATTATGCTAGAGAGAGTAAAGCCTGGATATTCCAAAAATGTCTAGTATGAGTAGCTCAAAAAATCGCCAGAGCTTCCTTTAGAAATATCTTTTTACCAAACATTTCTCACCGGAATATATTAACCACGCTTGGGGTCCATAAACCCCAGATCTTGAATTTTTTTTTGTACAAAGCATTGTATAGACGCTTTGCAGCAGCTGTGCATGGGTGCTGCCATAACTGACCTTCAGTTTTCGTTTCCTTTTATTCCGTTTACTTCGCTTTATCATTACCATAGCAGGCCAGGTTATTGCCTTTTTAGATTTTACTGTGTTCTTCTCCTTAGCATTAGCCTTTGCGGAGGCTCATCAACGGGCTCGGTATTTTGGTAAAACCTCGGGGGGTCAGCAATGGCAGCTGTAATCTGGCGCGTGTGCAAAGCGTCCATAGGGCGTCCGAGCAAGGGCTGTGAAACTCAAAAGTGCACGACACGAGAGTGCCGACGGGAAAGCGTACAACACGAGTGTGCATGTCAGGAGTGGGCGCAAGAGAGCTCATAACCAGTTGAGCTTGTGACACGAGAATGCACAAGTTGAGTTCGTGACACGAGAGCGCGCATCCAGTTGAGCGCGCAACATGAGAATGCCGCGCAACCAGTTGAGCGTGTGACGAGAGTGCGCAACCAGTTGAACGTGCAACAAGAGAATGCGCATTCAGTTGAGCGCACAACACAAGAGCTTGCGACAGTTGAGCATGCGACACGAGAGCGCGCACCAGTGGAGTGTACAACCAGTTGAGCAGGTGATAAGAAAGTGCGCAGCCAGTTGAGTGTACAACACGAAGGTGCACAACCACTTGAGTGTGCACCCTGTTATGCACACCACATGAGAGAATGCAACAAGAGAGCGTGCGTGACATCCCCATGACATCAGGTCCTTCGTAACGGGTCTTCATGATGGTTTTTCATGGAAATTGGCTGATAAAAAGCGTCCTCCTCAAAATGATACGGTACAAAATGGTCCCATGCATATTGGAGCAGCGAGATCACTAGTAATGACTGTTGTCAGATTTGGCTGTTTTTCCGGTGTGTCATACGATTGTGTTGTGTGTGTGGCCGGTGCACCCGGTAACAAACATTTCTCGTGACGGTACAAGCTACCCGTCGGCCTGGTCAGCGCTCTTGCGTCATGTACTCGACAGGTTACGCGGCCTCGTAACGCGCTCTAATGCCAAGCGCTCTCGTGTTGGGCGCTCTAGTGTCGTGCACTCTCTCGTCCGCGAGAGTGCACGATTTCATTCACTCTCTCGCTCTTGACAATTTCTTCTTTTGACGAAATTGTCTATGACATTTCCACATAATTGTGTTTCAGTTTCATAGCATTACAGCAAACTGTTTGAAATTGTTTTGTTTTTTTATGTTGGTGTTTTTGTTTTTTCTGTGTTTTATGTACTACTGTGGTAGCACCACCTTGGGTTTTCGGCCGCTTCTTTGTATTAAGTTTGCTTTCTTTTTTGTTCCTCTTGATCTTTGTACTCACTGTGCTCACACTAACTGACTTCAGATACTGCTGTTGATTATCGAAGTTTCCATTTTTTGTTCTCCTTTGTTATTTCTCTTTACCCTTCATTTATTTATTTATTTAGAATTATAATTATTATTGTTTAATAATTTTATTTAAAATTATTATTTATAATTCAAGTACTATTAGCCCAGATTCAAAGCCAACGCATTTATTAAGTGTAGTCATTACACCATGGAAAATGTCTTTAAAAAGAGTTATTGTTCCCTCTTTTGTTTTCTACTGCATGATGCACGAGCAATGCAGCCAACATCAGTCAGTCTAAAACCTTTGGGAAAATGCTTATTTCAGATCAAGCCCCTGGCACTAATTTGGGCCAAGTTGCCGAATTACCGACCGGAAAATACCATCATGTTCGATGACATTCGTCGCAATTTCCTCATGAACCCCCAGAGTGGACTGAGGGTGAGTTTCAGGCAGCCCTCAAACGGGTTTGTATTGGCTGGGGTGCCTGCATCTGACAGAATTAGGCAGGTCTACCAAGCTATCACATTGAGGAGGCATCATTGTCACCAGTAAACAAGAGTGCCTTGTGGTGCACCCACCTCTTTTGCCAGTCTGATGAGTCTGAGATGACCAGTCGGAAGAAAAAAGCTGCCCAGGCGTAATTAAAAGGATACTGAATCGAAACTTAAAATATACCTCTCGCGTTCAGAAATAAGTTAAACATGATCAGCTCTATCTTCTAATGACAATCGTACGCTTGTATTTGGAACGGATTGCTATATTTTTCGTTCCAAAAGACCGATTCCAGCAAGCGCTCGAAGATCAGCCATCGGAGAGTGTGATGCATCCTAGGAGACTTGATGTTAGCTGGCCCAGCATGGGCAAAGCTGCTTGGGGGCTGGCGTGGTTATGAGCTCCGCCACTTGGCGCCATCAACGCATAATGTGTTGGTCTCTTTTCGAGCAAAAAATTGGTGTCTCCAACATATGGCCAGAACGTGGTTGAATTTTAGACAATAAATAGGCACTAGAACTTCATCGCGTATCCTTTTAACCCTTTGCCTACCGCAAAAATGAAAAAAAGAAATGATTTGAAAATACAGATTTTTTTAATGTGCCCTATGAATTTATTATGCAATACAAAGGCCAAAAACAAATGCCAACATATGAGAAATCTTTGAACACACTGCAAAAGAAAAGGGGACTAAAGTTCAGCTTCACTGCATTACCGCAGACAGTTCACATCACCTTGCACATGGATGTCCAGGCCAGGCGTAGCAGTACTGCAGACAGTTCACATCACCTTGCACGCAAGGGGAATGCATGGAGTGGCTGGAGGGGGATGTTTTTGGTTGATTCTAGTCCAATGCTGACACAATGTCATCATCGGAATCAGACTTGTCTCAGCTAAAATCCAATAACTCAATTGCATCGCTCTCGCTGTCTGATGAAAGATTCATTTCCTCCTCTTCCGAATCTGAAGAGACGTCACAATATCTTCGTTTTTGCACTAATTTTGAGGCAAGATCGTCACTATGAACGCAGTGACCAGAAGCTGACACCACATTTTTAAATCCCCTGCTGCCTGCTTTGGAACAATTTTCTGCCAAATTCAGAGATTTACCACATTTTTATTTTCCACGAAGTGCCATCTATCCACGGCAAAGCTAACTGGAAACACGTGAACGAGCCCAGCTCGTCTTCGGGGGGAAGCGATACAAACAGTGTGGACGAACTCAGGTCGTCCATGGTAGGGAAAGGGCTAAAGGGCAACTCTGGTCAGTATTTTCGAATTTGGGGTTATGACTGTTTTCAGCTCAGTCAGTGACCCTGAATTACAAGGTATAATTTATTTTTTTTCAATATTGTGTGTAGTTTGATATATATAGTGTCTTAAAGTTTGATTTCGGGCACCTACGGCTAAACCGAAACTGTCTCCTAAGGAGGGTACAGCTGATCATCAGCTGTACAGCCGCGACATAACGTCACGGTAATACTGCAGTATGTGTCGCCCAGTGTTGCTTGGCTAAAAGCTAAACCGCTTGGCACCCGCTAAAGAGCAGGTGGTCGCATCTTTAAAATCGGTTTTAGTGGAGTGCGCGGCTTCACTTTGATGTAATTTTTCGGCTGTGATCATATTTCATGCCACTAAACCGATACCACTCATTTATTCTGGTTTCGTTTTCGACCGGAGTTGCCCTTTAAAGTTTTCCTTATTTTTCTTTTCTTTTTTATTGAAACTACGATAATAACAACAACCGAAGCACCAGGGCATTGAAATAGGTACAGCCTTTTATTTGTGACCACATAAAACATTTGCAGTGCATGAGGTTGTGAAAGCAGGTCATAAAAAGAATATACCTAAGCTGGAATATTTATTTTGGAAGTTTTATAGCAGAGCATTAGATTGTCAGTGGACTTTGTCAGGTATTGGAAGCTTGTAAAAGCTTTGTGGAAGGCTTTCACGGATGGAAAGTATTTCAGAAGTGCTCTGCAGGGTCTGAACAAAAGTCTGGGCTGTGCTTTCCTACTTGAATAAGGGCTGCCATAACATGCCATTGTTTTGGTTCCCTCCTGTGCTGTCTTGCTAGGCAACATAATTTTGCACCACTTCTTTTAAGAGAATAAGTCAACTGTGAGGAGTACTGCTCATCAGTTTCTGTTGCGGACAAAGAACAAAGAAATGACAAGGCACAAATTCGAGCAGTAGCATTTTCAAATCTTGTCTTAGGCTGGAATCTAGATTATAGGAAGTTCATTGGATAGAGCTTCGGTTCTCAAAGTGAGTTTTCCAGAGTACCCTTGAGGATTCCCCAGCGTTCCCAAATTTGCTAACCATCCCTGCCCCCCCCCCCCAAGTAAAGTGCTTTTCCAGTTTATGCACTGAGTCACCTTTTGATGTGTAACCACGAGTTAGATACACCCTAGTATGTGTATTATTGTTTACGAGGTCTGTAGGCCTCTGCACTACTTTATTGCAGCAATCCTGAGGGCAGGGGGGGGGGGGGGGGGGGGGGGGGTTTCTCGGCTATTTGTCAGGGCATGGTTCTTAGAGAAGGCAAACTTGGAGAATCTGCAGGGTAAAAAGAAGCCAGCAGCACCATAATGGAACTTGTTTGTGTCTTTCCCATGCAACTTATCGGCAGATCTGGGAGCATCCTTGAAAACTTTTCCGCCCTGCTCCCTGTGTAGAGGTTGTTTTGCAGTCGTACGACTGCATCCATCTTTCATGGTCATGTGCTTGACTTCTGCCACGACTGCATTGCCTATAGCCGACTTTGTCTGTATGTATGTCCTGCCCAATGGATGGATGTACCTGACATGTGAAACAACTCCATCGAGCTGCTCCTCAGTGGCGACATGGTGACACAAGTGTTAGTGAGCCATCTGCGGTCCTTCTCGACACAGAATTTGTATTTTCACAGAAAGAACAGTGGCACTGGAAATTACACTTCCTCTACGAACAGTAGTATAGAAGGTAATGTTTTTTTCTAATAAACCTTTGAGGTGCAAATGTGCCCCATGTTTTCTTGTTTTTGCCACGAGTAGTCTGTGATACACTAACTGACTAGGGTTGCCAACCAATGTTTTGAACTCTGGCAGGAGGATTGTGCAGAAGTCTATAATTGAGCAGTCTGAAGAAATTATTTCAGTCAGGGTATTAAATTTCTGCACAACTTTTGCTTGATATCGACCACTGCCACTTGTTTGATTCTCATGCAATTTCCACTTTATGCTTGTTTGATGATCACAGATTTTTTCACCATTGTCATCTTTCTGTGTCTGCTGCATAAGAGCCTTCATGGGGTCATACAGCAAAAAGCAGTTGGCACCATTTGGCACTGCTGGGAAACAATGTTCAGGCGACCATGATTGTTTCTCTACTGGGCCCATCGGCAGAAACCACATACTACACTCAAAGAACATGAAAAGAACAGCAGTTGTGTTGTGGACGATGTGGCTACCGTGGTGTGGCAGTGGACGGTGCCTATGGCAGCTTTAGCAGAACAGCAGACATGGCAGCTATAGCTATAGCAACTAAAGCTTTAATCCAGCTTCTCTAGTGCATAGGACAGGGTATTGAGGCTGATATTCAAAGCTAAAATGGCGATGACTGTACTAGTGTGGGTGCAATTGGTGCCAACCATCTAAACCCAGTCCGAAAAATCAAACAAGCTGAGTTCCGTATGAAATTTCAGTTGCTCTTATGCATTCACCAAGGAGGGCAGTCCCGCGAAAATGTCCAAATAATCGAGCAAGTTCAAAACCTCGGCGTCCGCAAAAAGTTGGTCACCGACTGTATTTTGTTGAAGCGGCAACTTTGGAGTACCTGTGTGTCCACAGGCTTTGGAGACCTGCAGACACACACAGGCTGCGGTTCCGTTCTTCGGCCCGCCACGCCGTTCTTGACACGCAGTCGTCTTACCATGTCACCAGGCCGTAAGCACAAGGTGTCGTCGCCCCTGTATGCACAACATGTATGCACAACAACGAAATGACTCTGTCGTTTTCCGTGCATCGCACGCATGTCCTTCATGCACACTCAAAGTTACCTGATCTGCCTGCACCAGGGAGGAGAGGGGTTTCGGGAATGTTCACCCTGCGGAAAAGTGCTGCATTCACCGTGCATTGTTACATACAGGCTGTTTTTTTAAGCTTTACATGTTCGTTTAAAAAAAGCCGTGAAAGCTATACTCTGTTTCATACTTAGTGTGCAACGCTACCAAAGCTACTGGCACAAGCATGGGGCTTGATCTCGACGCGTGCTTGCGCAAACAAAACCATAGATGAAGCCACGCGCTCGCGCCAGTAGCTTTGACAGCGTTGCACACTAAGTTTGAAACAGAGTATACACCTATGTGGTTTGTGCAGTTGAGTTATACGGCCAGGGGGACATAGTATAGGGGGCTAATCGTAACAATCAGTCTGGTACTTGAGTATGATTTGTTAATTAACTTTTTAATTTGTGAAAATAAACATAGTTTCAGTTAGAAACTTGCTAAGCATCATCGAAATCCTCCAAATCAACTCTTTTTAGGAAGATATAAGACATGGGCGGCATTTTAAGGCATTCTGAAAAAACGCTCAGTTTAGATGCGTTACTAGGTTTCGGTTTCTTGTTGCAGTGCATCTTTGCACCCGCGGTCTTGCTGCCAGGTGGTCGTGGCAGAAAGCCACCCTCTTGGCTCCTCGTAAGGATGGGGTGAAAGTAGGATGCATGTGTGTTGCACGTCTCAGCCACTGGGGAGCAGGACCGCAGGCGCAGAGATGCGCTCCAATAGGAAACTGAAACCTAGAAATGCGTCCAAATAAAGCGTTTTTACAGAACGCCCCAAGATGCTTCTTCTGCGTTATATATTTCTAAAAAAAAGTTCATTAAGTGGTTTTGGATGACACTCAGCAAGTTTCTAATTTGAACCATATGTCTTTTTTCACTAATTAAAAAGCTAATTAACATAT